AACCCTAATTTTGAATGAATAAACAAATATAAATTGTATAATATTATTATATTATATCTTTATACTAAAACATTAAGATTTTTGTATAATAACGTATTAAAATAATGAATTATAATACTTTGGTTCTATTTTATATAATAAAAAATAATAAATAATTTATCTCATATGAGTAGTGGTTGGGTCTCATGTGACCAATGTGACCAATGTACAATTTTACACTATGTGACCATTGTGACCGGATGTGACCTGTGACCAAGTGACAAAAGTAAATACAGGTGGAAACATACTTTTCAAGCTTTGGTCTATTATTATAAGGTATAAGGAAAACAAATATTATGTTGATGACAAAATTACAAAACATTAAAACGAATTTGTAATATAAAAAGACCAAAATTGTCAAAATTCTTTATAAAAGACTATGGACATTAATGTATCACATTTGTGAAAACTACTTTTGTACACAAAATTCGAATAACTCAATTATTATAGTTCAAAATGGTGCATATGGAATATGTGATGATAATCAGATCGATTCATTTGAAAATATCCACTAAATCGACCCTTGTGACCAACTGTGACCCATTGTGACCGAAATATTGTGGGTCCCAATTTGAATATGCAATATTTCTGGTGGGGCTCAGTATAATCCAAGTGTACAAAAAAGTTACGGTTGACAAGTCATCACTGATTTTGGTGTGACCCCACATTTTCAACCCATATTTTTAGCATCCAATATTTTTTTAACCCAAATTTTTTTCCCTCAAAAAAATTTCAACCTAAATTTTTTTCCTTCCAAAATTTTTCAATAAAATTTTTACCTTCCAATATTTTTCATCTCATATATTCAGGTATAAAATAAACATAAAACATAACATCATAACATAAAATTCTTTAGATTTATAATAAACAAACAAAAAGTCATAACGAAAAGAAATAAATTCATAACATAAATAAGTTATTGATTCTACTTCTCAACACTTCCATTGACATATATGACGGTTGCAAGGAGACAAGCCGTGAGAATGAGATGACAATCATTAGTCTCGATTAACAATCATAAACTTGAAACACCTTTTCATTGAAATCCACTTTAATGGTGTTCTTGCATACCCAAGTGGATTTTTTTCCGCCACCTTATTGGCAATTATAAACTTGGAGCACTTCATATATTATCTCCTCAATGTGCTATAAAATAAATATGTCAGCATTCTAGATCATATCACCATATGACCGTGTGATATGATACCTTGTGACCGAGTGACATGGTACCATATGACCGAGTGAACATGGTACCATGTGACCGAGTGAACATGGTACCATGTGACCGAGTGAACATGGTACCATGTGACCGAGTGAACATGGTACCATGTGACCGAGTGAACATGGTACCATGTGACCGAGTGAACATGGTACCATGTGACCGAGTGAACATGGTACCATGTGACCGAGTGAACATGGTACTCTGTAACCAAACGATCATGATACCATGTGACCGAGTGACATAAGATATGTGACTATGTAACTTGTGACATGTGACCAAATAGGATAAACTCTCATGTGACCGTGTAACATGGTACCATGTGACCAATTTAACACAGTACCATATGACCATATGTTAACAAGTCACCATGAAACTTGTGACCAAGTGGCCTGAGACCATGTAACCAAGTCACTCGTGACCATATGACCTACTATCCTGTGAACTGTAACCATGTCACTTGTGACTTGTGACTATGTCACTTGTGACCATGTCACCTGTAACCTGTGACCATGTGACTAAACTGATCATGTGGCCTGTGACGATGCCACCTAAATCACTCTGTAACATGTTACCACGTAACTTAAATCAACATTTGGCATGTGGTTTTTTTCACCTTGTGACCATACAATTATGTAACATAAATTATATCAAACTCTATCACCTATATGAGTGAGATCCAAATTAACATATTATTCATCATTCAAATATCGCCTCATACATCCATGTGATTCAAATCAATCCGATTTTAACTATTTCACATCACAATCGATTATTTGACTTCAATCCCAATATTTTATTTTGAAATCCAAAAAAATTCAAAAACATAACCCTAAATTTATATCCGTAAAATCCTCATGCTAACACTTAAAGTCAACGTAAAAAAATTTCAAAATCTAACAAACCTGAGAAAAAAAAGAAGTAACCTACCCGATGATCGTTTAACTCATTAATTTGTATTTGGTTCTCAATCTCTTCAAAGATATCGATGAAAATGAGTATTGGGCTGAGTATGAGTCTTTTTTTTTTCGTTTGTGACTTCATTTCTTATTTGAATCACATGAGAGTTTAATAGATAGTGAGAGATTCGACTTTTTCAAATTTTGGGTAAAGATTCAATAATTTCGAAAGAGAGCGAAAGAACATATAGCAAGAGGTAGGAGAGAGAAAGATTTTCAGAGAGGTAGGAGAGAGAAAGATTTTCAGAGGTAGAAGATAGATGCATCGTGAGTAGAGAAATAATTATCTTTTTGTTTTTTTAATTTTTTAAATTGAGAAAAAGGTTTTTTCGTCTTTTTGGATTTTTATAAGGGTTTGAATGTCTTTTAAACTGTGCAAGACTCTTTTTTTTAATTTTGATTTTGGAGGGTATTGACAGAAGTCCGTAAAGCAGTCAAAGGGTACTTCAGATATATCCCCATATAAACTAATACAAATGTGTAGAAAATTGGATTAAATTTTTTTTACATGGTTTTATAATTTAAATATTTGTATTAGATGATTAAATCGTTTTCATATATATATATATATATATTATATATAATTTTGAGTCTTGGATTGAATAGAGACAAAATTCAATGTATTCTCCAAAATACGTATCTATAGTTACTTAATCTCCCATGTTTCTTCCTTCTCATTCCCATCTCTTTCTAAATTAATTATCTGATGCGTCATTCTATTCAAAATGATACTATCAACATATACACGCACATTCCACTCATAAATTTTAGGTGAAGTTCATTAAGTTCCTCAACTATCTCCGTAACTTTTGGTGGACAAATTAATTCTCCATCTTCTATAGAATGGTCGAAATTTGCAAATAAAATTCAGACTAAAACAGAAATTCCGGTTCAATTGACCCGGTTCATTTAACAACAAAAAACCCTACCCTAAATCACATCTCCCATCTTCCAAACCAAATCACCAATTCTTCTTCTTCTTCTTCGGCAATGTGTATGTTTTTTTTTTTAATCATTGTTCCAATATCTTCGTGGGTCACCTAACAGTTGATGGTCCAGATGATGAAATGTGACAAAGTCATCGTTAAGATCCTGTTTCGATTTTACTGGTGGAGAGTGATGTAATTTCTGGATCAAAATGGTCTATATACAAAGACTCGTCTCCTAGGATAAATGTAGTTGGACCGAAGGCCCGAGGAACCATCCTGGTTATAAAAAAAATACATCTTCATCAGTGGCGGACCCACGTTATGACCAATGGGGGCATGTGCCCCCAGTAATGTTGCAAAAATGTCTTTGTACAATTTATTTCTTCATACCATTTCTTTTTTTATTAGGTATATATATACATTATTATATGTCTATGCCCCCAATTAAAATTTGGCGTGAGTCCGCTACTGATCTTCATGATTTCTACTCTATGCCTTACGAGGTGTTTGGGATTTGGTTTCGAATGGAGAAAATGGGATGTAGTTTATTTATTAAAAAAATGGACCTGTTTTAGTGAACCGGAATTTCCGGTTTGGTCTGAATTTTTTAATTTTTGAAATAACTTACGTAGCAGTGGTACATGACGTGCCAAGTTCAGGTACGATGATATTAATGTCCGTCGAAGGATCGACCTTGAATTTTACAAAAGAAGAGAAGAGAAACGTAAAAACAAGGGGCACGTGAAAGTAATTAATGGAAAGGGGAGAGGGTAAGATGGTCTAAAGATGCCTTTTTTCATCATAAAAAAAGCTCGCTGACATGTCACCGTGCACGTCACCCTCCTCGTCAGATTTTAATTTAATTTATAACAAAATAAATTATTTAAAAACACACGAAGAAATAAAAACCCGAAACTTGGGTTACACGGTTATGGGAGGACAACGTCAGACTGGTCAGGGATCGGACAAGCCAGACGCCGAAGAAAAACACAACGGCCCTCCCCTTGTTAAACTTTTTCCAATTTACATTTTTCATTTAATAACGTGAAAAACCGCAATCACTATCTTTTATATTGGATAAACTCATTTTCGTATAATTGTTTATAAACCACAAGAGAGATCTAAACTATATTAGATTACTTGTGTACGATCCAAATTCATTTTGAATATGAATTTTAAAAAAAATCAGATATTTTGTATTACAGAATCGGAACTTATCTTCATTGTATATAAGATCAAGTTATCAGTCTATAATTCAAACGTGTGTAAACATGAATTTCGGATATCACATCCGTAAAATGGTTAGATATATTAAAATTACGTATTTTTATCTAGATCGAATCACATCTTCGACGGACATTTTTACCAGATTTGTTTTTTGTATCTTTTGAGTTGGTCAGGGAGTATATGACTTTGGAACATAGCATATATATTGTCTATATATGTATACATACACCAAGTATGCACGTAGAACGTGCGCGTGGATCAGGATTCGTCTGAGCATTTGGGCTTGAGATCACCCGATTATAAAAAAAAAAAGAATGCACATAGAAAAATATATATTTTAGTGATTATCAATAACAGTGATAAGAAAAATCCCAGGTCTTGACATTTTCATTTGTAATTTTCTAAAATAATTCCAGATTTTCTTTTTCTATAGGTTTATTATAATCTATTCTGAAACTGGGAAAAAAAATGATAAAATCATCTGAAAGAAGAAGAAAAAAACGATTTATGATCGTTACAAAAAAAAAGTATGATGAGCCAGGCCCATATGAGTTGGGCCTTTACGTCATTTAGAACTTGGAAACGGCGCCGTTTAATTCCCATTTCCTTGGAAATCACAAACGCGCATTCAAAGATCGTCGGTTTTTGTGGTAGCCGAAGCGAAGAGCAATTTCCACGGAGGTCGCGAAGATGGGGAAATACAATCTGACCGACGAGCAGGTCTCTTCGATGAGGGAGGCTTTCATGCTCTTCGACACCGATGGCGATGGCAAAATCGCTCCGTCTGAGCTCGGGATCCTTATGCGGTCCCTCGGTGGCAATCCGACGCAGGCCCAGCTCAAATCCATCATCTCCTCCGAGAATCTCGCCTCCCCGTTCGATTTCGACCGGTTCCTCGATCTCATGGCGAAGCACCTGAAAACGGAGCCCTTCGATCGCCAGCTCCGTGACGCGTTCAAGGTTATCGACAAGGAAGGAACTGGGTTCGTTGCTGTCGCGGATCTGAGGCATATTCTCACCAGTATCGGCGAGAAGCTAGAGCCGAGCGAGTTCGATGAGTGGATCCGGGAGGTTGATGTCGGGTCCGATGGTAAGATCCGGTACGAGGATTTCATCGCCAGGATGGTCGCAAAGTGAGATCTAATCTTTACCTCGTTCTTTGAATTTGAATTTGAGTTGATTTCTTTTTGTTTATTTCTCTGTTGGTTTGAGCGAATTCTAGGGTTTGTTTGTGATGCCATTGGGGTTTGCTCTTGGGACAGTACGTACTAAATGTTCTTCCTGTCTGTGTGGGTGAATCCTCTCCCTAGTATATCTATTCCATGAATTTCTTAAATCCCTCGTCTTCTTGCCCTGTTTGTTGCTGTATGCATCTGTAATTCCATGAGTTGGATAAGGGAATGCGATTGATTCGTGTCTGCAAACTGAAAATGTGTTTGGTTTTGATAACACCACATTGACATCTTATGAATCTTGTTTGCTCTCAGATTCGAGTTCATGTTCTTGTTTGCTACTTATGTGTCTAGTTCTGTGTCCCTCACCACATGTCAACTGCATTCCTTCATATTCAATTCAAATAGATATGGGATCACGGGTTGTCTTGATATTGATCTACTGTCTGAACAAATGCCTTGTTCGTATTCTGAGTCATGCTACTATGGTTGTTGATGCGGACACACGATGAAAGATGTAGAGGTCTTGCAATGATCTTGAGCTTTGCTTTGTTCAACATCCTGCTCGCTGTTAAATTTGCTTTTCGTTTTGGAATGTTAAAAGCTCATAGGATGACTTCGAAGAAAGAACTGACCTTTCTATACACCCTTCTCAAAGGTTGTTCCTTTGGAAGATAGGATCGATGCATAGAGATGTTAGTCCAGTTGCACGACTCGGGTTTTGCTCCTCTTCGTGCTCGGGCAACGACGATCCATTTCGTTGTGCCCGTGTGATAGAATATATATATCTTAAGAAAAGAACTAGACTCATGCCATTGAGGTAGCAAGCCCTATGCACTGAGAGGAGTTTTGCTTCATCAGGTGAATAGATAATATAATCTTGAGGCTTTTTACTAGTTTCTTAATTCTTATGGGTACCTTGCCAGAGGATGTGTCTGAAACTCATTGATTCCGGTTCGGTTATTGGGATTGGACCGGTTTAAGGCTTAAACCCAAGTGGGTGATTCTGGTCCAGGGTAGGACCATGAAATTATATAAACCGGTATTGGATCCGGCAGTGGCTGATGGTTTACCGGTTCAGGTTCGTTAGCTAAATCGGAAGTGTTGGAACACATGAATGATGAATATTCGGACCGGCACAATACCAGGGGCGTAAAATGCACTAGTAACCAAAACCGAAAGTCTTGGAATTATTTATCAGTAAACCGGCAATAACGAAAACCGGTTATGACCACAGAAGAACAACGTTTTGAGGATGCGAAAATTAATTGGCAGTAAATAATCGTAAAATACCTTAATTTGTATAATCAAATTTGTGTGAACCGGATTGCCGAGCGGCGAAGTGCTAAGTAAGAACCCAATAGTGTTTGGTTTGGCTTATGTGAACATTAGTTTTGGATTCTTTCCTTTCGGTAAATATGTGAAATGGAATTTTGTGGGATGAAAAAAAATGTGATTTCGTAAATGGAACTTTTTTTTTTTCATTTTTCTATTTTAATATTTTTATAATTCAACTTATCTTTTAATTATCTTTCCTAAAACATATATATTTTCTTCATGTTATCTCTTTTAACCATCGCATCTTTCCTCGTCATCTTTTTCGTTGCATCTCTATTCATAGTGTCACATCAAAACATGGATCAATGATATCATCGAATTGGAAGAAATAGATTGAATATCCATAATTAGAGATCATAGAGAAAAAGAAAAAAAAGGTATGTTGAATTAGGAAATATATAAATAGATTACCAATTAACAACTTTCACATGAAATATTACACATCCCAAATTAACTTATATTCTTTTTACCCATTGATTGTATCAAGCACGTTATGCTTGTTTTTTACCATTTGTATGGGAATCTTTTTGTAATCAGTTAGAAACTGTTGTAACACCAGTATTTTTTGTAAGTACAATATAATCACATTAAACCAAAAAAAAAACTTATATTCTTTTTTTTTTCAAAACCGCATCCAAAATAAAGAAAGAAAGAAAAAAAACATAGTGAACATATGACATATCTTCGTATCCGTGACATAATCCAAGAATTATGGTTAAACAATTACCTTGTTCTATAATGTACGGAACCATTGTTTTTTATTTGCATGTTCTCAATAAATTTCTGGTTTTAATAATTTGAGAAATAGAAATTAAAATTATTTAGTGTGGACGAAAAATCCAAATCAAATCAAATAATATGAAGTCAGACTAAAGTAAACCAAATTTATTTCTTTTTTTTTCTGTTTTATATAAAAATAATAAGAATCCATACAAAAACTAAACTATTTCCAACCCAAATCGAAATAAGACAAAGAAATGATCGAAATGGTTTGTTTCCAAACAAAATAAATGTAATTTAGTTTAAATTCGGTGCGAATTATCCGTATATTAAATCCATGTCCGAAAAATCCTCATTTATATTATATATTTTAGACAATTTTCTAAAGAAAATGTGAGAATACTTGGACAATATTTAGTTGAATTTTTGTGTATTGGGTTATGATAACATTTAGAACGACAGCATTTGGCTTCGAACGCAAAGTTTCCACGACAACTGCCGAACTTTGTGGCCAAGAAACTAACGCACGACAACGACGAGACTTACTCCCGCATTCTACGGATTTCAAAGCAAAACATAAATAATAATAATAACATAAATAATAATAATAATAATAATAATAATAATAATAATAATAATAATAATAATAATAATTATAATAATAATTATAATAATAATAATAATTATTATTAAAGAAGCATTCAGCCCAAAATCAAGTCTCACATGGAAGAGAACTTCCTTCAGTAGATGTATCCGACAGGACCCCAAATCCAGAGAGATATACGCGGAGACCAAATGCCAAGAGAAAATTTTCTATTTACCAAATAATAATAATTCATGATTTGATTGGAATTCGATTTTTATCGATAAAAATATTTATTTTTTGGGTCATTTTTTATTCGATACAATTATGGTTTCTTTGATTTTAGAAAAATGATAATCATTCAATTTTTATTCAACTGATTTGATTACACTTATTATTATTAGATTGTTAACCAAATTCATCATCAATATCCAATTATCACAAAATATTGACCGAATAATAATAATAATAATATTCTGTTACAAAAAGGAATATAATTAAGGAATATGACAATTTCTCGTGTACAAGTAGAACACGTGTCAATATGTAAATATCTTCTAGATAATTTGCTTAATTCATTATAGAATGTATATATATATATACACATGTTTATTATCGGCCGCCATGCGCAGTTAAGTCTACAGAACAAATAATTAATTTTGGAGAAATATGGTATAAGTATGATCATTATACATTATATCAGTATGATTTTGATATTTATTTGGCCATTATCAAATGTTTCAATTAATTAACGAATTATAAAATGACATGAGATATACGTGAGCTGTTGCTTGCACGATTATTTCATACATATATATATATATATGTCACAGATGAAAAGAATATATATATAAAATACACGATATGGCTTATAATATAATATAAAAATAATATAAGCCATAAAAATGTATTAAAATCAGATTGATATTTGGGGGTCAGTTTTTGTTTTCATTGTTCCTTGTTTCTTCTTTCCTCTGGCCTTGTGGGCTCAATGCCGTGACATTGATGTTAAAAGATGTGGTATTTTCAAATTATTGATAATTATTATCAATAATTAAAATGCCGAAAAAAATAAATATAATTAATTTAAACTGTAGTACCATATAATATTCATACATCTTTTCTCATAAAATATTTCTACGCTCTCAATAGAGATTTTAATACAATAAATAGATATTGTGAACAAATAATAATCTAAATATTTAGTCTGATTAACGTTTCTTAATTTATTTTCTTTTACTTTAATCAGACCGGAAAAAAGGAACGTGTCATTTGAAATTAACCTCGTAATTTTTTGGTATAAAAATTAACCTCGTTTTTTTTTTTGTTATAAAAATTAACTTCGTATTCTTTCAAATGCTTGAGCTTTAAACACCTTGATTTTGAAGCGCAACATTAGTACTTACACGATACACTTAAAAAACACATTTATATGTATATCTATAATATATATATATACGTATATATAGTTTTTTATTATTTGAATCTAAAGTGCGTTAGGGCTCAATATTTTAGAGCATCGGATATAAACATCGTGTTTTAAATAAATATATTAAAAATTCCCGAATTTTGACACCATGATAAGATTTGTAAAATAAAACGTTATTTTATTATTCTTTTAACCAAATAATATATTTATTGATAGTGATTTTTTTTGGTTAAAATAGTGAATTTAAATCCCACTAATAAATTACAAACTAATATATATCTATATTCTATATATCTATATATCTATAATATATTCCGATAAAATATAAAAAATCTTTATACATCTCTAATATATATATTTAATTATTTTCATTTTGCATAAAATATGTATATATATAGTTTTAATAATACTTATTTTCATGAACGAATCTCTCACTTCGCATTCTCGCTCTATATATGTATATATTATGAACACAACAACATTCCCAACCTCAAAGAAGCGACGGAATTTAAATCCCACTAATAAATTACAAACTAATATATATCTATATTCTATATATCTATATATCTATAATATATTCCGATAAAATATAAAAAATCTTTATACATCTCTAATATATATATTTAATTATTTTCATTTTGCATAAAATATGTATATATATAGTTTTAATAATACTTATTTTCATGAACGAATCTCTCACTTCGCATTCTCGCTCTATATATGTATATATTATGAACACAACAACATTCCCAACCTCAAAGAAGCGACGGTCCGGGAAAAAATACAAAAAAAAAAAAAAAATGAAAATCTTATCTATATCCCTTGTTCTTCATCTTCTTCTCCTCCAAGTCTCCAACACTTCAGCCACGAACCAAACCACAAATAATCCAAACCAAACCGACGTAGATTACATCAAAACATCATGCAACGTAGCCCTATACCAAACCCTGTGCTACTCTTCTTTATACCCTTACGCCTCTCTGATCGCTTCGAGCCCCGATAAACTCGCCATTACCGCCCTCAATCTCACGCTGTCGGAGACGAAATCCTCCCGAAAATTCGTCAAATTCATCTCCCATCGCCGTCAAGGAAGCCTCACGCCTAGAGAGGCTTCGTCCCTAAAGGATTGCATCGAGGAGATGAGTGATTCGGTCTACGAGCTCAAAGATTCGATTAGCGAGATGAAGGCCATAAACTACTCGAGCTTCGAGATGGTTATGTCGGACGTTCAGACATGGGTTAGCGCCGCTCTGACGGACGAGGACACTTGCATGGACGGTTTCGAAGAAGCTGGTGGCGGTGGTGGAGGAGAAGCGAGACGAGAGGTTAAGGATTTGGTACGTAAACGTATAGACCGAGTTGCTCGTATCACGAGTAATGCACTCGCTCTCGTCAATATGTACGCCTCCACCCACCGAAACTGATCATTTTTTACGTACCATCAAATGATATATAAATTTTTTTATAGAACAGTTGTATACTATATGTTGAATCCCCATTTGTGAAACAAGTTTGTGTGTATGTCCGTCCGTACTATGAGTCTATATGGTTGTGTAATTTCGTGCTTTTTTTTAGTTGTATTCGGAGATTTATGTTTTAAAATGTTTGTAAACTACATGGGGATCCAATCGGGGTAAGCCAAATGGCGTAAGTGGTGGAATGGCCGTTGGGGAGGAAGAATGTAATTTAATTGCAATAAAATTGTTTTCGATTCAAGATATATGTAGTTGAGTCCAAAATCTAATGAAGCAACCCGCTCCATGGTGGGCGAGGGGTAGACGTTTTTGGTGGCTGAATCTCCTTAAGATCATTAGGCGCAGGTAGTGGCCGGTTCGAATCCATGAGAGAGTAGACGGTATGCAATTAATTGCAGCAAGGTGATCCATCTGTTCTGATTGGATATAGTTGGGTCGAATGTCCGGTGAATCAAGCTGATTACCAGAAAAAAAGAGAGTCTAATGAATCAATAATGAATCAATTTGAATAAAAACAAATACTATATTTGGAGGGAGGTCCTGTGTTTGTTTGTGTCCAATTGTTTATTAGAGTTATTCTATTTTATATTATTATTATAAAATAAGACGAACGTGCGACCAAAAATGACACGGTCTTTGCCTCTTGGGCTTGTATAGGCGCTTGCTTAATGGGGGCTTTGCGTAACGTTTCAAAGTCCATCATCATCATCTCATCAGTTAATAATATATTCAATAATTATTGTTATTATCTCACTATAAAATTTTAAAAGTAGGTGATTAGGGTTTTGAGCTGAGTTATGGTTTTTACTAGGGCTGAGTGTTTCGGTTCGGTTCTTCGGATCCGGATCGAATCGATCTGAAAAAATGATACTTTTTCCGATCCGAAACGTTCTTAATTCCCGAACGGTACCATTTTTAGATAACCGAATTTTTCCGGAACTAAACCGAACCGAACCGAACTTTAAAAATTCTGAAAAACCGAATATTTTTAAAGGAAATCTATCTTTTTTTTTAATAAAACCCGGAACCAAACCAAATCGATATCGAAACCGAATCGAATCGAATAAAATATAAAAACCGATTGGTACCTATTTTTGTAAAACTGAAAGAACCGAACTGATCCATTCCCATCCCGAATCCGAACCGTTTCCCGAAACGTCCACCCCTAGTTTTTAGGTTATGGAGAAATTCGATTGTACTTTTGTTACATTTTATCCAAACAAAATTAAAATGTGATTAAATGCTTCCAACAGACTCCGAGGTAGGGATTCATAAATTTTGGAATAAGTGACAATTTTCGTTCAATTAAATAAAATCGAATTAATCTGGACATATAATTGCATTAAAACCAAACCTTACGATAAAAATATAATTTTTTTTGTTTTAACAAAATAAAATAACTTTTAAAATATTTTTAATAATAAAAATCAACCAACCAAATCGGAAAAATAAATAGTCAAAGCACAAGCTCTTACACAAAATTACATACATATATAGATATACGTAGAATTTGTAAACCCTCTGTTTTATTCAGAGGGTTCAGGTTGTGTCTTTGGTTATGTGCTACGTGGCTTATTGGAAGCCATCATTCCTGGGTATGGAACAAAATTATCCACACTTCGGCAAATTAAAATTTCGATAAGTTTTATAAGCCACTGATGGGTTACAAACGGCAAGAGTGACGAAGTGACAGGAGGAGGAGGAAGAAGGAAAGGAGAGACCTTGACGGAAACTCCACCTTAAAAATGGCGGCTGATGCTCTGAGAATTACGCGTTTGAGTTCTGGTTCGGTGGTTTGTGATCTTAATGGGTCGCAGAGACGACCCGTCCTTCTTCCTCTGTCTCATCGTGCTCGATTTCTGGGTCTTCCTCCTCGAGCCTCTTCTTCTTCGATTTCCTCTTTGTCCTCTGAGCTTTTGGGAAGCTTTCGTTTTGGGTTGGGTTCGGCGAACGTGTCCCGCCATGGACAGAACTCCAGGAGGAGGCAGTTCTCTGTTTTCGCCATGGCTGATGGTTTATCATCTCTCTCTCTCCTTCTTTCTGTAGATTATCTGCATTTTTTTCTACTCTAATTTCATGTTTTGTGTTGAATTCTGCATTTGGATACGGATTCTATCAAAATTATATCGATAACTGGGTTTGGATGCTTGATTCTCGTCCAAGTGTTTGTCGAAATGCCTGTGAGAAATGGTTCGATTAGGCCTGTTCAGTTCTTGAATCCAAGTCCCAATAAACCTTGCGAGCATAGTTCATTGGCTAATTCAGAATCTGGTTACGTGCGAATTTGTTAACTTCTTCCGACATGTAGGGAGTGTTCATGTTTTAGTGCTTTTCCCAGCACATTTTTGTCAGAGTTGGGTGGTTTCTTTTGATCTTCTGGTATGTAAAAATCTCGTACTTGTTTCATATTATTGCTTAATGCGGCTTGTGTTATAATGATGTTATGGCATTTTGATGTTTCATGACTTAACTCTGTGTGTTCTGTCTTCTTTCTTACAGAGGTGAAGCGAACTGTTCCACTCAATGATTACCGTAACATCGGGATTATGGCTCACATTGACGCCGGAAAAACGACTACAACCGAGAGAATTCTGTACTACACGGGAAGAAACTACAAGATCGGGGAAGTGCACGAGGGAACAGCCACCATGGATTGGATGGAACAAGAGCAAGAAAGAGGAATCACCATAACCTCAGCTGCAACCACAACTTACTGGGACAAACACCGCATTAACATCATCGATACACCTGGACACGTGGATTTCACTCTCGAAGTAGAGCGTGCTCTTAGGGTTCTTGACGGTGCCATATGCTTGTTCGACAGTGTTGCTGGTGTTGAGCCTCAATCCGAGACTGTGTGGAGGCAAGCTGATAAATATGGAGTTCCCAGAATTTGCTTTGTCAATAAGATGGACCGACTTGGGGCAAACTTTTTCAGGACAAGGGATATGATAGTGACCAATTTGGGTGCAAAGCCCCTGGTCCTTCAATTACCGATTGGTTCCGAGGATAGTTTCAAGGGTGTTGTCGATCTCGTGAAGATGAAAGCTATTGTCTGGTCAGGGGAAGAGTTGGGTGCTAAGTTTGCTTACGAGGATATTCCAGAAGATCTTCAAGACTTGTCTCAGGAATATCGGAGTCAGATGATAGAAACGATAGTTGAGTTGGATGATGAAGCCATGGAGAACTATTTAGAAGGGGTCGAGCCCGATGAGGAGACTGTTAAGAAACTGGTTAGAAAGGGAACCATCTCGGCCAAGTTTGTTCCCGTACTGTGTGGTTCAGCTTTTAAGAATAAAGGAGTGCAGCCATTACTTGATGCCGTGGTAGACTATTTGCCATCACCAATCGACTTGCCAGCGATGAAGGGATCAGATCCCGAGAACCCAGAAGCTACAGTTGAACGGAAAGCGGATGATGATGAGCCATTCTCCGGGCTAGCATTCAAGATCATGAGTGATCCTTTCGTGGGTTCTCTTACGTTTGTGAGAATCTACTCGGGGAAACTTGCAGCCGGGTCTTATGTGCTGAATGCGAACAAGGGGAAGAAAGAGAGAATCGGAAGACTCTTGGAAATGCACGCAAACAGCAGAGAAGATGTTAAGGTGGCTTTGACGGGTGACATCGTGGCTCTTGCCGGGCTTAAAGATACAATCACGGGCGAAACCCTGAGTGACCCGGATAGTCCCGTCGTGCTTGAACGGATGGACTTCCCGGATCCTGTTATCAAGGTAGCCATCGAACCAAAGACGAAAGCGGATATAGATAAGATGGCCACTGGCTTGATCAAGCTCGCACAAGAAGACCCGTCTTTTCATTTCTCCCGGGACGAAGAGATAAACCAAACAGTAATCGAAGGAATGGGAGAACTGCATCTCGAGATTATTGTCGACCGGCTCAAGAGGGAGTTTAAGGTAAACACATTTCCGAATCTTTCTTCCTCAAATTTCCAAACCCTTATAACCAAATTCAAACCCTTCTCTTCTCTCAGGTCGAGGCCAATGTGGGTGCACCACAAGTGAACTACCGGGAGAGTATCTCTAAAGTAGCAGAAGTGAAATATGTACACAAGAAACAATCGGGTGGACAAGGTCAGTTTGCTGATATCACAGTCCGGTTCGAGCCGTTGGAAGCAGGAAGTGGGTATGAATTCAAGAGCGAGATCAAAGGAGGAGCCGTACCGAAAGAGTACATTCCGGGTGTAATGAAGGGGCTGGAGGAGTGCATGAGCAATGGCGTGTTGGCCGGTTTCCCTGTGGTAGATGTCCGAGCGGTTCTGGTGGATGGTTCATACCATGATGTGGATTCAAGCGTTCTTGCCTTCCAACTCGCTGCGAGAGGAGCTTTCCGAGATGGGGTAAAGAAAGCTGGTCCGAGAATGTTGGAACCAATCATGAAGGTTGAAGTGGTTACACCCGAAGAACACCTCGGAGATGTCATTGGAGATCTCAACTCTCGAAGAGGTCAAATCAACAGTTTCGGTGACAAACCCGGCGGTCTCAAGGTACATTTTTTTTTTGTTTTTGCTAGTAAAAAAAGAATTTCGGGTGCCCAACCCGAATTATGAGCACTATGTGAGAATGTGAGATGAGATCGGGTTATAATGCGAAGGAAAACCTGAAGATCGGGTTTAGATTTGGGTAATTGGGTCCGAGGTCGGATAATCCATATTCAGTCGTTAAAATTTAGAGTAAATAAATGCAGGTGGTGGATGCATTGGTGCCATTGGCAGAGATGTTCCAATACGTGAGTACTCTGAGAGGGATGACCAAAGGACGTGCTTCTTACACTATGCAACTCGCTAAGTTCGACGTTGTCCCTCAACACATTCAGAACCAGCTTGCTTCCAAAGACCAAGAAGTTGCTGCTTAGTCCTCATTTCCCTCTTTTTGTTTTGTTTGATCGTTTTTTAATACAGAATTTTCAGTGAAGCTGTTTGTCTTCAGATAACATTGCGGGGCATTTTGTGAGGCATACAGTTTTGTCTTCTCCATATTCAATACTGTAAACGAAACATTTCTTGGAATCAAAATTTGTCCAAAGCAATGGGGGACGAATCTGTTGCTTTTGATGCCTAAAGAGCCATGTATTTGAATGAAGTTATGTACTCGGTTTTCAACAGAATGAAAGGAGAAGTTTGGACCAGATTATTAGATTTGTAAGAAGAATCGTCTATTTACAGACAACAGATGGTGAATGTTGTTTACATAATGAATCAAAGAATTAGCAGTGAGGAAAGAATCCGGGAGAGAGAGGTTTGTTCTCAAGCGGCAATTTGGCCACCTAAGCTCCAAACTCTTAGTCTACCACTCCTGTCTCCTGTATAGATCTGACCATCGCCACCGAGGGTGAGTGTCCCCACAGCGTGGGTCGAGAAAATCCTGCCCCGTTCAGTGAATCTGTCACGAGAAACGAGATATGATTGATACGATCAAAAGGCCCGGATGGATGCAATAATGATGTTCCCGATAGATAGATAGATAGATAGATAGTTTACTCACGATGGTAGATCGTACACGTAGATTGTGTTGTTCTCGCACGAGCAGAATATGATGGGTTTGACATCCCCATCAGTCATCCCAAGAAGAGCGCAAACACCCTGTCTCAATTCAAAGCAAATAAAGATAAACTCATGTATATAATAAATCCTCGGAGAATGTGGAAGGGATGTAAAGCTAGCTTACATGTCCAAGTCGGTGCGTAAAAATCGCTTCCAATTCACCGCTCTGGGAAAAAGCCCAAGCCTTTACACTACCATCCAAGGAACCCGATATCAGATACCGATCCCAACATAGAAGCGACGTGACAGTGTCCGTATGCTGCCTCAGGGTCATTGTGCATTGCAATGTGTCAAGATCCCACACCTTGCAATATTTGGTTCAGAAGCACACAAGAATATATCAGATTTCTAAACCCTATTTAGTAATGACCCTGGAAAGATGGGCATAGGACTAAAAACCCACGATGGAAGGAACAGCAAGCAATTTACCTTAATTGTTTGATCCACAGAACCCGAGTAGAGATTCCGACCTCCCACAGTAAAACACACAACTGCACCATCATGGCCCTTGAGAGAAGTAGCGTACTTGAACGGATCCGACTCAGTGTTGCCCTTCCACACCGATATCATTCCAGACTGCCATGCCAGCATGAATAATTTAGTTTACACAGAAAGGGAACTGAGATATTCTATCAATTAACACTGCTAGGAATGTCATTGACATTGCAAAACAAGGGGAGAAATGCTTACGCTCGCCCCAGCAAAAAGCATTTCGTTGGCAACGATCATGGCATGCACCTGACCAACTGGTCCTTCTAGATGAAAATCTTTAGCTGTCTGGACATTAAGGGCCTGGAGAATAATAGAAAGAAACGTGAAACTAGAACTAATATTTCGAAAGATGACAATCAAAAGGACAAAGACGTTATGAGACTAACCTTTACAGCATTTGGCATTCCGATGAAGATCCATCGGCCTTCACTGATTAAGGATCCTGCTTCAGCACCGAGGTTCATCACACGCATACATTGACCTTTGCTGTACTCCCATACTCTCAAAGTACCATCATCGCTAGCAGAGATAAATCCGTCGGAACCCAGTGGAAGGACAATCCCTTTAAGATCCTACATGCAAAAAAAATTTAGTTCTAACTCAATATATACCATCTCCATTTATCAATACTAGAAAATTCAACAAGGAACAAGGACAGAAAACGTACTTTCTTGTGTCCTTCAAGTTCAGCCAGCATCTTGAACCCAGGGCAAGAGCACCAAGAGTGCAAAAAACGGCATTGTTCACCATACTTGCAATTTCCAGACATCCAGTACTTGCAAACATTTCCCTCAGACTTGGGAGTAACGCGGTTTCCTAAACTACTACCACGGACGCTTGAAACAGATGAGTTGTTAGATCCATAGGCAGCATTATTCCTGGGATGGTGCGGCCCACTGTCTGAAATGCTAGAAACAGGTGATTTCTTCGAACCATAAACAGCCTTCTTCTGTGGCTGGTCTTCATCAGGTGAAGGACGGGACTGTTCCCGTGTCCAGACCAAATTCCTGGAACCCTTATAAGGACCATTTCTCTGTCTACGGTAATAAGGTGCACTGGGTCTTCTCCCAACTATATCTGTCGCACTGTCTTGATATCTGTTAACTCTGCAAGTCATCTTCCTGTCTGAGTATTGCTTCGCTGCCCCAAGAGTCATACTATACAAGAGAACATATGAACTTTAGCAGACTGAACCACACAGCGAAGCATACAATGTTCCTTCCATGACGATCCATAATCAAGAAGCACATGAGTTCCATCACGTCAATGGTATCCCACCCGCGAAAACAATCCTGATAACATTCTCAATGAACGCCGATCCTAAATCTTAACGGCACTAAGAACCGAATAATTACTTCCATCCTAAATCCACACAAGCAACAGACGATCTTTCCAGTATTTTAGCGAGAGGTGGAGAAAAATCATGACCTAAAAATCCAATCCAAGGGTCCGATAGTTTCATCCAACAGCGAATTCACAAGCATAAAATCCTAGATACAACAAAACGGAAAGTCCGCCGATAATCCTCGCAAGGTAAAACCCTAACTCCACGGAAAGCCAGACATGGCGGATGACGAGAATTGCGATGAGGCAGAAACCCTAACCGAGAGCAAGATGAAGACATAGCCGGGGAAGCAAACCTGAGATATCAAAACAAGTGACCGAGATCCTCGATTTGGAGGAAAATCCAAACTCAAAGGCCGGAGTAATCGAGAGAAGAGAAATCCAGAAATCGATCGTAGAGATCAAGCAAATCGAAAGCCAAGAAAATTGGAGAGAAAAGGAAAGTTGAGAAACAAGATGAGAGAAAATGTTGAATTGCTGTTCAACGCGGCCGGGAGCGTATATTTATATGTAACGCAAGTATCGATTAAAATTTAATTAATTAATTAATTGACGACGCCGACATTCCTTGTCCGGTTGAGATTTTTGAATTTCAGTGGGGATAACCGGTTTAAGTTTCAAACCGGGAATTATTCCGGTTTATTATAGTAATACGCTTCCTATTCGTATGATTTCAAATTTCAAATTTCAAATTTCAAATTATGATTTTCGCGTTGATCTACTGAATGGTTTTGTATATTCTGAATTAATTTCCACATATTTTGATGTGCCAAAAAATACAAAACACATCTATTTTTAAAACCGATTTCAATTTCCTAATGTATCGTAACGACGTGAAAATTCTTGTCAATTTATCAAGTCACAAAATAAAAAAGATAAATAAAGAATTAAAAATTAAAAGAAAATTTTAAAATAAAAAGTAAAACATTAAAGAAAAAGAACAAAAAAATATAGATTCATATACAAATATATATATACATATATATTCACACATACAGATACATATATATGAATTTGTGAATATATGTATATATTCGTACGTGTGGATATATATCTGTATATATATATATGTATTTGGACGGACCCGATTGGAGATGAAAGGGGGTATATACTCCATTGGTTTGAGTAATAAATTATAATTCTTTTATAAAGTTGATCAACCAAATTTTATAAATACCGCATAGTAAATTATATTTATCACATGATAAAATTAACTTTGCTCTCATTTAGAATTTGTTTTAGATCCACTACTCCGCTACTGTATATATATATGTATATATATATTTATATGTATATGTGTATATGTGTTTGTATAACAAATACGAGATCGAGTTCTATCTCATAATACTCGAAACATTCGAGTTTGGGTATCTAGTTGTACGGTTTTCTTTATATTTTTAGATAGATTTCATCTAATGTTCTTCTTACCAATTTTATATATTTCAGGCTTATATTTGGGGTTTTGTTTTAAAGTAGAAAATCCTCACAAGAGTATGGAGAATATGAGTTTAAATTAGGGGCGGACGCGGACGTTTCAAGAAACCGGTCGGGTTCAAGACGAAAATATATCGGTTCGATTTTTTTGGGTTTAAAAAATAGGTACCAATCGGTTTTTATATTATATTCGGTACGGTTCGGGTTTGATACCGGTTCGATTCGGTTCTGGTTTTTATTAAAAAAAGATATATTTTTTTAAAAAAATTCGGTTTGGTTCGGTTCTAAAAAATTTAGTTCTGTAAAATTAATATCGTTCGGAAATTTAAAACGATTCGGATAAAAAAAATACTGTTTTCCGATTCGGTTCAATTCGATTTTGAAGAACCGAACCGAAATGTCCACCATGATCGTGTGGCTTGACAGATTACACAGGGCAAAAACGTAATTTAACAGGGTGAGCCGCATTGGAAAACCAAAAACTAAAACTGAAGATTAAAATTTGAAAATGATAATTAGAGTAGAGATTTTACATTTAACTTTCGTGGTTAGTGACTAACATTTGTTGTACAGTCACTAACAAAATAAATATCTTATATTTTTGTTATTTTCTCTGTGTATATTTATATCTATAGTCTGACGTTAGATTACGTTTGCGCCAAGGTGGGTCCCACGAGGACCGGAACCTGCATCAGTTTCCGTACGTGTCAAAACCAGGCTTTGCATGTCTTCTGTTTCTGTCGAGATGACACACATCGCCACCGAGTCGTGACTCGGCGGCTTCTCCATCCATCCATCTCTTTTGCTATTTATTTTATTTTTACTCAATTGCCTATTGTGGTTGCCTCGAAAGTCGTCGATTTTGATTATCGGATAGGGTCCAAATAAAAAAATATATTCCATTTAAATGATTTGAAGAAACTGAAGTGTTTTGCCAAATAAAAGTGATGCTGGTCTTAGTCTTAATTATACTTATCATGTGAAAATATAAAAATATAATGGGGAAACATCCCTAATCACTGGTTTTTCACGTATGTTTGCCTTTTATGAATTTTCATAACATTTATGTTTCCAATTCTTTTTTTGCCTTTTTTTGTACTTAATTTATTATGTTAATACACAATGCTTTTTGGTCTAAAATATTAGACGTTTTCAATGTACAATATAGTTTGTTTAAAATCTTTTTCCGAAAAAGAAAATAGATAATGATTACTAGTAGTAAACATTCGAATAACCATAATGGATTTATAAAAAAAAATATTCCCCAAACTATAGAACTATTAGTTGTGAAAAAAAAAATATGCAGACTTCGCTTCTTTTTTCCACCTTTACTTTACTCTTTTCTTTGCATTATATTTTAATTATATAACGCATACAATATTTTCTTTTATAAAAATATTAATAAATAATCGACTAAAGCCTTTTTGGTTCTACTTTTTATTTATAAACACCTTTTTATTCTCCCCACTCTCTATTGCTTATTCCTTCATCCCAAAGAGTTCTCTCTCTCTCTCTCATATCTCCATGGCTATGTCGATTTGCTTCAAACCAGCTCTTTTCCTCCTCTTACTTCTCCTGGTTCGGAGCGAATCAGGCACCGGTCGGGCCGGTCGGTTAGGCCGGTTTATACCGAAAATCGTTATGCCGACGGAGAAACCTGAGCCGGAGGAAGACGACGGTAGCACCGGTACGAGATGGGCGGTTCTCGTCGCCGGCTCTTCTGGTTATGGAAATTACAGACATCAGGTACACATACACATGCATATACTTATTTTTGTATTCGTGTAAATAAATATAGTCTATATTACATACATGGACCGTCATAAATGCTTAATCGGTTCGATTGATTTTGGTATTCCACTCGTAGATGAATACCATTTTTTTTTTCAAAATTGGGAAAAAATAGTTATTCGATATTTACCTATTTGATCACATGCAACCCTTAATTGTTGACTTGATTTATATTAATTTTCTGCTTTTTGCGAGCAATTGATCGCAAAACGAAATTCCAGAAATTAATTTATGATTATTGGAGTAAAAAAATTCGAATTTTTCTAATATAGATTTTTTTTTAATGGTTACAAGAAAGGAGGTCGGCTTATTGTAGCCTTTTTCTCTCTCTAATAAAATTTCTTACCTTTTAATTGCTCTTTAGCACTTCAATGATGGAGATAATTTTTATAATATATATATATTATACGACGTTACACGCAGAATATCCTTGACTGTATAGTCTGTTTTTTTCTTTAAAAAAAATGCATAATTTGTTTTACTAAATTTAATTTAATTTAACTAGACATCTATATTTTCACACACACACACACATATATATATATATATATATGTATGGGAGAAGTATACGTATAGGTGTGACAAAAGTCATATACAAAACGTGATGTAGGCGGACGTGTGCCATGCGTATCAAATACTGAGAAACGGAGGACTGAAGGAAGAGAACATCGTCGTCTTCATGTATGATGACATCGCCGACCACGGCCTCAATCCACGACCAGGCACTCTCATCAACCATCCCCATGGCGATGACGTCTACGACGGCGTCCCTAAGGTACATATATAGTGTACATATTTATACGTCCGGTTATTTCGTTATAATTTCGGTTTAATATATGGTATAGGTCCAGATGATTTCGGTTTATATATATATTTGTTGGGATCAATAAGCCAAAGTGGCGTGCCAGATGGTCACTTGTGTAATACCCAAACAATCGTGATGATAGCGACAAGAGACATTTGGTGCGGTGACGGTCGATTTGGTAGAAATATTTCAATTCTTAATCCTAACGTCGGATATTGATGTATAGTGTTACCGGTTTAATTATAGCCACTAATTTTTATTAATTTTTGCTTTAATTTAATTGTGCCCCCTAAAGTTTACTTGATTTCGTGATGATTAAATTGATTGCAAAATCAGATGGTTAAGTCTAATTGGTCAAATTTAAATTTTTAAAATTTTCATTTTTAGGACTACACTGGGACCAATGTCACGGCCGCAAACCTCTACGCTGTACTTCTCGGTGACAAGAAGGCGGTAAAAGGTGGAAGCGGGAAGGTCGTGGCCAGTAAGCCCGAGGATCGGATTTTCCTGTATTATGCGGACCATGGTGGTCCTGGAGTTCTTGGTACTTCCTAATCTTTAAACGTTATATGATCGTATTTTTCGATTCACATTTACTATAATCTTTGGGACTGATCAGGTATGCCGAAAACTCCGTATGTTTATGCGGCCGAACTCATTGAAACGCTTAAGAAGAAGCATAAATCCGGAACCTACAAAGAAATGGTAAATGTAGTTTTAACCCTTGTTTTTGTTCTCTGTTATATATGATCATCTTTTTTTGTCAAATATATATGATCATCTTGATTCTTCAATTATAATCCTTTGGTATTATAGTTGTATTGTCCACATTCAAACGTTTCCATGCATGAATATATGTCAGTTTCTTAGCCTTGTGTTTGTTGATGGAACAAGTCAGGTTCGGTTTTATTTAGATTCGGTTCTTTCAGTTATAGTAGATTCCATCTTCTTCGATTTCGTTTCGGTTTTTCACTTGACATTCGGGTTTCAATGACAAAGATGTGTATTTCCTAACTAAATTTATATTTTCCATTCAGTTCCTGTCCGTTTTATTCGGGTTTATAGTTGTTCGGTTATAAAAATATTATCGGGTTCAGTGATTACGTTACATGTTATTCGGTTTAGGTCGGTTTGGTTTACGAATAATCAAACCGAATGCAGTCCTTGTGTTGACGAGACCTATCATTATCGAGTATACAGGTTATATACGTGGAAGCCTGTGAAAGCGGGAGCATTTTCGAGGGTATAATGCCAAAGGACTTGAACATTTACGTAACAACAGCCTCGAACGCACAAGAGAGTAGCTACGGAACGTATTGTCCTGGCATGGACCCTCCGCCGCCGCCCGAATACATCACTTGCTTGGGAGATTTGTATAGCGTCGCTTGGATGGAGGATAGGTACGAAAATTTATCATCCATCAATCATTGAATTTCGATTCTTTTCCCAATGTAGAACGATATATGTTATATAATGAATCGGTTCGTTTTCGTGTCTGACGTGCAGCGAGAGCCACAATTTGAAGAGAGAGACGCTAAAGCAGCAATATCAAACGGTACGAAAACATTCGGTTCGGTCGACAGTAAACATTTTTCGGAAATAACAGATCGGTATTTTGCTTAACGTAGGTTAAGACCAGGACGTCAAACTACAATACGTACTCCGGTGGCTCTCACGTTATGGAGTACGGAAACACGAGCATTAAATCCGAGAAACTTTACCTGTACCAAGGATTCGATCCCGCGAATGTGAATATCCCTCCCAATGGATTATGGATCGGATCACGAATGGGAGTCGTTAACCAACGGGACGCCGATCTTCTCTTCCTTTGGCACCTGGTACGCTGTTCGGTATCGCGGTTAACGGTTATACCGGTTTTGTCCAATTTTCTAACACGTACCGGTTTTATTTCACAGTACCAGAGATCGGAGAACGGATCGAGAAAGAAGAGAGAGATCCTCCGGGAGATAACAGAGACGACGAGGCACAGGAAGCATATAGACGCAAGCGTCGAACTGGTAGGCACGTTCTTGTTCGGACCAACCACGGTCAAAACCATCCTAAACTCGGTTAGGGAGCCCGGTTTACCTTTGGTCGACGATTGGAGATGCCTTAAAACGATGGTAAAAGATTCTTCATACTAAATCTTGATTTGAAAGACCATGCAAAGTTTAGGGCTTCGATAGATATGTATAGACGAGGTCATACTAGGGTTCCTGTGCGTTTGCGTTTTCTCAGGTACGCGTTTTTGAAACGCATTGTGGATCGCTAACGCAATATGGGATGAAACACATGAGGGCGTTTGCTAACATTTGCAACGACCGCGTTTCAAACGCGGATATGGAGGAGGCTTCTGCGGCAGCTTGCCGTGGCTACACGGCTCACGAGAGGTGGCAACCGTCAACCACAGGTTATAGCGCCTGAGGTTATATATATATATATATTATATGGGCCTTTGCCAATTTCAATGGTGTAATAATTAAAAAAAAAAGGTGTTTTACATTTTGATAATGTAATATTTAAGATTAAGATGGTGGTTGTGTCGATTGGTTAGTATTATGTTCTACATGTGAATATACGAGTGGATAATGTTTTTGTGTTGGGCAGTTTGCATGTTCTTAAACTTTTTTTCTTTGGTTCTCTCTCTAATAATGTGTAGCTCTATTATTGGACATTGCATTACTAAACTTCGATATATTGAATTTCAATAAGAAAATAAAAACACACAAAAAAGGTATTAGTATACTATATATAAATACACACAAAAGCGTGAGTTGGGCCGTAATATTTTATTTTTCTTAAACTAGAGGCCCAAATAATATGTCCAATGGCCCAAAAAGGCCATCTGTATCCCTTGGTTTTCATTTGAATTTTTTCCATCACAATTACAAAACCTGAATATTTTATCTGAAACATCTGATAATTTCTGTAAGAATTTAAGACAAGAATTTTTTTGTATATTCATTTATATGTGATTTAATGGATAGATACATGATGTACTACATGGTAAAACCTAGAAATTTCGATTTCTTTAAATGGTTTCAAATCCTAATAATATAATTCATCTTATCTTAATCTGCTCCCATTTCTTAATCTTATAATTACCTCTATAATCAGCATCATTACTCCGAAGAAGACATATAAACCAAAGTGCAATCATGCATCCCCCATTTCTATACAATATTACCTTTCTATTATTTTTTTAATATTAATATATAGAGAATTAAAAACATTAGAAAATATATGAAGCCTTGTAATTATTACTCATCACGCCTTTGAGCAACCCCAAGCAGTGAAATCATGGAGGTTGGTGCATATGTTTTTGTGCGAAACAGTTGACCTTTGAATTCAACAAGTCAACTGAAATAGTATTCTATTTTTCATTACTCCGTTGAATATATATATATATTAATTAATTTTCTGTATATTGTGCATTTAGTAATTGGCTTGACACTTATCAACATGTCATGGGGTGGGGTTCACTGTTATGCTATTGCCTAAAGAAAGTGGAAAGGAAATAATAAATGTAACTTTAATTATTAATTGAATTTTGTTGAGTTAGTATTGGCGAATACAGACCATGCGGTAATTCTCTGATTCAATGATTCGTATGCATGAAATAATTAGTCGTTTGGTGCATGGAATAGTAATTAAGGCCATGCAGTATTATTGTTAAAGACTAATAATTATTTATTATGATCTTGTTAACTATTAGGAATTTAAGTGTACAGATATACATTATTTTGTACTAATTGTGATAGATAATTTATGTGGTAACATCATATACGCAAAACATACAAAAAATACACCATATATATCATTTGAGATCAAATTACAATGACATAGTAATCTAAAGAGTGAAATTCACTTTAACTTTTTCGTTTATCTTAAAGATGTAATTAGGACGAAAGTTTAGTGAATAGGGTATTAATTTTTGCATGAGGTTCGAAGTTCGATTTGACCCAACCCAAAAAATAATAGATTTTGAGTCTAAATATCTCGGTCCAAAAATTTTGGATTTTCGAATTGGGTTTAAAAAAATTCAATTTTTTTTAAATTTCATAGAAAAAAAAAACAAAGAACAAATTTAAGCGGCCGACCTGAAACCAAATCCAACCTATAGAACCCAACTTGGGTTTGATCATTTAGGTCCGAAAAAAATCAAATCGTTTTGATTGATCTGTGAATTTACGGATTATAAAAAATAAATAAATTACAATGCCATCAATATATTATATCAAACGTTTAAAGGGGCGACTGGTTGCACCGTCGCCACCCGCAAACGGAGCGGTTGCGATTTCCGGCGATTGCGGGCGATTGAAAAACTGACTGGTTGAACCGCAACCAACCGCAACCGCAACCAAACTTGTGTTTTCTAATCGCAGCTTCCAACTTGCGTTTTGGTAGCGGTTTCCGGCGTTTTGACAAAAAAACTAAAATATTTTTATTAAAAATTATATAAAATATTAATATATATATTGGTGATGATTTTGTTTAGTGTTATGATTTGATATTATTTTTTAGTATTATATTTTAATAAAAAAAATACAATAGTATAATTTTTAGGTTTAATAATGATTATTTTTAATAATTTTTATATATAAAATTATTTTTTTACTTAAAAATAAATTAAATTAATAATATTTATATTTTAAATTTGTTATTTAATTATTATAAATTTAGTAAATAATTTTTATCAAATGATACGAAAAATTTAATTAAAACTATTATACAAAATTATTTTTAAATAATATTTTTTTTGACAATTTATATCAAAACGCAACCGCAACCGTAATGAACCATTCACTTCTAACTGCATCCACCCGCAATCGCTACCAACATTAACTTCTCAACCAGTTAGTATTAATCATTTATAATCGCTATCAAACGTTCTGAAAACGCTGTCACCCGCAACCGCAACCGCTGCGGTACAAACAGTCGAACCCTAAATAGTCCAAGTGTCTTCAGTTAAAGCAAAAAGGATCACCGAGACACATGTAAAATCACATTGTACATAATTTTTTTCTTCGCAGGACAAGACACTGACAAGAGGAACAAACTTCCCCACGTGGTTTAATTTTAGGTATTTCGTAATGATTAGAGTCAAGAGACAAGTTGTGAAGAAAATATATCATCCCATCGAATGGGTTTACGACACGTGGCCATGCGCAAACCCTAGACAAAAAGACCGGTTTTGGACCGCTCTTTTTTTTATGTTTTAATTATTAGAGTTAAGTGATTCATCAGTTATTAATTACTTAATGTGGCATGCTAATTGTAGGTTAAGATAATATAACTTACTATGATTATTAGATGTTAAACGTAGAGATAATTAGGAACTTCTGCCACCTTTGCCATGCGTATGTAGGATAGTATAATTGGCTGTTTCGTAGATTTTACAAAATAGAATTATGTATCAATGGAATATTTTTTTCGCACATATATTTTTGTAAAAATATATCGTGGATAAAACATAGTTCGCGGTCTTTATACAAATTAAAAAATGGAGCAAATATATCTAAATATTTATAAATATGTTAATATAAAATTTCTACCATCTATATATATGTTATAAATAATTATATATACGAGGTATATTTTATATTTGTATCTTGTGGACGGGTTATATAAACGAGGTTTTAAATAAAAGTTTGGTACAAAAGTTTTCGTGAGATATTTTAGGAAAGTCTTCTTGTGAAACTTATAGAAAATTATTACTTTTACCATTTAGCTTTTATCAATGTTGACATAATTTAGAGTGCTAAACATGGAAAACTACAGAATAATTATTTCCATGTCTTAGATATTCCATATATTGCAGGTATACACAGTAGGAGACTCATCGGATTATTTACAAACTATTTGGCTGATTTATTTAACCGAAACACATATTTAAAATTGTGATTATCTTTGCACATTGGATGTTGCGAATATAATTAAGCACTCTACAATTAGTGAATTAAATAAATATATATAGTAGTTTTCTCTATAACAAATTATAATAATTTAATTTCGGTATCAAATAGGTAATTGACAGGAGGCAAAGTCGGACACAAATAGACACTTTTGGATCAAGGTCTTTCCTTTTGCTTCACTTCTATACTTCCTTTCAGCAACACACCAAAGCAAAAAAAAAAAAAAATAGATATTAAGATATTCTCAATTTCCCATAATAAATTTTTTAAAAAGTTTTTCCCTATTTACAATTACAAACACCAAATCTTCACTCCCAAGTCCCTGACCTCAGCCGCAGAACCATCCGATCAACTTACCTAAATCTATTTATAATCTATATATACACACTTAACTATCATAACTTAAAATAAATAAATAAATAAAATCATGCCACTTGGGAGTGATGTGATCGATTACATCATCTTGAATTGTGGAGTTTAATTAATATGTTTAAACCTATATAAAAAAATAAACTATATACATTCCTCGTGAGAATCGATTGGGGCATTATAAAAAATAATCTTACTTTGTTATTTCTACTTCAAGACCTACCCTTGTGACTATGTGATCAATGTGACCGAAATATAGTATGGTCTCATATTGATCTCATTGTTCATAACGTTAAATTTATGATGTTTTAATCAAATTATTAGTAAGATATACAAGGTATGAACATAATGAATTAGTGTGATCACCATAAATTTAACGTTATAATTGATAAAATCAAAATGTGATCATACTATATTTCGGTCACATTGGTCACATGGTCACAAGGGTAGTTCTTGAAGTAGAAATAGCAAAGTAAAGGTATTTTTTATATAATGCCGAATCGATTAGTAGCCTTCAACCTGCATGAAACTTGAACAGAAACATCTATACAAATAGAGGAATGCATTTCATCAAGACAAATCATTCCAAGAAATTAACGACTAAATTAAAATTAGGGTTTAAAAGTAAATGTTAATACTTCATCTTTAGTTTTCATGTTTTTCTCGTCTTGTGTGTATTAAAAAAAATAACCCTTACTAACCATCCTCTGTATATTTGTCTGCATATAAAGGGGAAAATAATTTGTATAATGCAATTATGATGTATTTTTTTTCCCCATATTATGATAATTGGTAGCGTATTTTAACCGGGTAAACAACCCTTTTTTATAAACAAATTTAGGGTTTAAAAAAAAAGATAACGGGATAACGGGGTGGGGCCCACATGACCAACCGGCCTGCAACAGCGGATCGTGAGATTAATGATCGACGGCTAGGTCACGCCCGCCACGTCAGCAATCATTTATATGTGGGGCCCACTCTCAGCGGCTCAATCCCACTACCACAGCTTGAACGGCTCTGAGCCAAGCCGCGTCGAGCTGTACTCTCCCGAAATTTTTGTTTTACAAATAACAAATAAATACGGTCTTTTTTATCGTCGTATAAATAAATAAATAAACGCCATCACCCCCCACTAATAAACCGTCGGTCCATGGGTTCTATAGATATATGGGGTTTCTGTATAATGGTTTATCAAATGTAAACTTTATCTGATATCAAAGTCAAACATTTAATTTTCATGCACACCCTATCGCGAATTATCGGCAAAGATATGTTAGTAATTAGAGATATTAATCGGAACTCCTAAACAAATGTTACCCCTAATTTTGGAGATTATTATGCATTTTTCATTTTTGAAATGAAATTTATAATATATAACGTAATAAAGAAAGCTGTCCTTTTGTTTATATTCCATATTAGATTCATATATATAATTGTTCCGAACCGCAAAACCGAGTTTTCATAAATAATTCGAACTTTTTTTTTTTGAAATATCGAATGTGTATTTCTTTTTAAATTTTATTGATTATCGTCAAAAAGATGAAAGAATAAAAATCATAGAAAGAAACTGTTCTTTCATTAAATCAATAAACAATAATTCACTAATTAAACAGTAATTTATTATTGAAATAAACTCTAAAACTCTAATTTACCTAAACTAGAATCATAATACAATATATATAACAGATAAAAAAAATATTATTGGAATATTTTCAATATTTAGGCTGCACCACTTTCCATGGAAATGTAACTTTTTCCATATATTTTTAACTTAGAAGAATATAATTATGTGAATCTTATGTGAAACAAAAGTTTAGAACATATAGTTCATTTCTGTTGATAAATCAACAATTTATATGTTAATTATTACAATGATCGGGTGAGAAAAACATCACAAAATCTTGAAATTAATATTTTTAAAATGTTACTATAAAACCCCGAGTGTTGGTAATTAATGCAATAGCAATTTTTCAAAATTGATGATGATTAATCTTATTGATTAAGGTCTAGAAACACGATGAGAATATAATATTAAAATATACGACCCTCTTGACTACTGTAACATATTTTCAATTCAAATATCTGAAATGTAAATATAAATAATACTTGAGTGACTCCGTACGTTCGTTTATGTATTGATAGGTTTTGAAAAAAAACTATATTGGTGATAGAAATATTATTTACATATAAAATTATGTATATATAAATGTTTATATGAACTATATACATATACATATACATATTATATGTGTCACAAAAGTAACAATAAAATAAAAATAATAAAAAGTGGGAGGCCCAACCAACGGGAGATCGCGTGCGTATGGAGGTGGAGGACTTTGAATAGTTGTTTTATTGCACCAAATACCACCAAACCCTATGACGCATTTCTTTTAATTCCTAAAATTCACACTTTTCTTTTTTATTTTTTTCGCAAATTTATTTTCCTGTTTTTTGAAAAAAATATTAAAAGAATTGTTGACTAAAGAAAGAAAGTTTGTGAATAAAACATTAAAATATGTGAGGAACGGAATCTGCCCGTACGTCGACGTTTACATGGTGGATGCTAAATAACGTTAAGAATAATATTGTACAAACTTTTAATTCTATTTAATTAGGTAAGAACCCCCCCCCCCCCTGGAATCGATTATAGATTATAAATTCTATAGTGTGTGTGTGTATATATATATATATATATATAAGCGCAACTGATTTGAAGAAGAGGTGCTTCAATGTTTCATCTATGGTTTTTACTTGAAGTTACTTTTAACATACATTTAAAAAATGGGCATTGCAAATATTTCTTCATATTTTCCTATAACTTACAAATGATAGCACATCAACTCACAGATGATGAATTCCCATGAAAGCCAATGGATAACTTTGTAATTATGTCATGGACAATATTCGGAATATGAAAGATTATAAATCTAATTTATTTTAACCAATCAGATAAATCTATTTTTTATGTTAAATATATATATATATATATGTGTGTGTGTGTGTGTGTGTGTGTGTGTGTGTGTGTGTGTGTTGTGTGGTAACTTTTGAAGTGACCACTGACCAATGCAAGACGGTTGACAAAGAATTTACATTTATTTTCGCATCATAATTACCTTCAAAATATAATGTACTCCCTCCTTTTCTAAATAAATTAAAGTTTAAGATTTTTGCACAATTTTTAAGGAAATATAAAAAAGGTCATAAATACTCTTATTAAATTACATTCCCATTACATAGATATTTTAAATCAATGATAAAATTATAAATTTTCTTAAAAATAATTTAAAAAATCTAAAATTACATCTATTTAATAATAAAATATATTCTCTAGAACGAAATTTATTCAGGAGGGAATACCTCTATATATATACACATTATGTATATATTGATTGACTGATTCCATTTTACGGGTTATTCTTCAAGATGACAAGCACTTTGATAATAAGGTATGTCAATTTCTCTTTTGGAAATAGGAGCCACCTTTTTTTATTTTCCTTTGAATTGGTTAATGAATATATATATATATATATATATATTGTAAATATGACTTCTCAAGTCCTTAGAACCTTTTGTTTGAAAAGGAAAAAAAAAGACTACATAAATATCTTCTGAGATATCATCTTCGGTAATTGTGATATCATCTTCATAATATTCATCATAGACTTAAGATATATATATATATACACACACACCTTTATGGGGTAACAAAGCTTAAAAGAACAAGTATGAAAAGAACCTTAATGTAAATTAAGCATCAAAATAATAAGCTCATAAGGTCTCTATCAGGAGCTGGTGGGTACTAATATCTCTCTCTCTCTCTAAATCTGACATGAACCATCTTATCGGCTCCCCTTTTTCACTCCCGAAGCTTTTGCAGCAAATACTCTCTCTCTCTCTCTCTCTCTCTCTCTCTCACTCGGAGTAAAAAGGACAGGAGAGAAACTAAACTTGAGAAGGACAGAGAGGGAAGGGAGAAAGAGAGGCATCCTAATATAAGAGTCTTAGGATCCGGTTGTATACTTGTGTTTTTTTGTCTTGCTTCTTTCATTTTTCTTTCTTCTTCTTCTCCTTTATTTAACCCTTCTCTCCTGCTCTCTTCCCATTCCTCTATCGCCCCCTCTCTCTCTCTTCTCTCGGGATCCGATCTCTGACTATTCCCGAGGAACACTGTCAATCTTTTCGATTCTAGTCACAAATCTTTTTAGGGTTTTTCTCATTTCTCTCTTTGTTCCTTTCTATAGCTATCTCTATATAATTGAAAATCGCACCAAGTGTTCCATTGTACGAGGCTGAGAAGAAGATGAGACAGCCGACCCTCAAGCTTTGTTATAGTCTCAAATACACAATAATCGAAGCTATTTAAGGTTTTCATCTGGATCTGTCCGGCCGGAGAAGGCCCATTTCGAGTTTCCTAAGGTAAAAAAAAAAACCCTAAGTTTCTTGAATTTGTTTTAAAAAAAGGTCGAAACCCTAAGAGCAAATCTTATGTGGAAGTCATGTTTTTTTATTTTCTTGTTTAGCTATCGTTTTTTTTTTCTTTTGGGATATTTCTCGAGATTTTTTTTTCTTTTTTCTTTTCTTGAGATTTGTAGCTTTTCGATCCTCATCACGATTATGATAATCGTCATCAATGTTGCTTACGTTACAAAGCTAAACAAAAAGATGGATTGAAACAAGTTTTCTATATAGCAATAAAATTATTAATACACAAATATATATATATATATATATATATATATATATATATATCATCTCTTGGATAGATCGATCTAGAGATATGGTTTGCCTCTTTACATATAATTCCTAAATTGTTTTTCTCTTTACACACACACACACGAAAATCTCTTCTGAAATAATACGTTTTCTTGATAGTCCATATAAGAGGTTGAAGGATTTTTATTCATTTCTAATAAGTTTTCAAGAAAGATGCCAAAAAATAGGGGAACTTATGTTATATTCATGGATCTGTCATGAGTTCTTGGTGAATTCATTGCTAGTTATTAATTCTATCCCATAAATTTAAATTTTCAGACAGTTTTATATACAAAGGAATCAATTAGTCATTAGAAAATGATTTTAGTAAATTCATGCATCTCATTCAATCAATTTAATCATAGTATGGATTTATTTTTCTCTCCTCTACCTATATATACAACAACTACAGTGTTTTGTTCAAACTCATATAGATACGAAGGAGTTCGATGAAGTTCATCATTATCATATAATAACATATATAATACTAATCGGGGTTATTAAGTCCTATCATTTGTCTAGTGCTATGTGGATTTAAATAATGATGGAACCATGAGCTTCGGATATATATATATATATATATATATATATATGCTTACAGTTCTGATACTAGCGTCGATCCAAATCTTATCATCGACAAAAAAACACAAATCATAATATCTAGAGAATTCTAGGTGTGATCATGCAATACTCTTGTCTCTCTCTCTCTCTATATATATATATATATATATATATATATATGACGGTACGACGTGATTAATCGGAAGTTTGAATAGCGATCAAGCTAGTCAATTTCTGATGGAATTCATATGGTACAATATGCTTTAACCAAATTATAATATGTATAAATCATCCCGACTCTCATTTTAGTTTTTATTGCCATCTCCAACAAGCAGGTTTGGTCCGCCCATTCTTGAAAAGATCAAACATGAATTCATTCTCCCACGTGCCTCCTGGCTTTAGATTTCACCCGACAGATGAAGAGCTTGTAGACTACTACCTGAGGAAAAAAGTGGCTTCGAAGAGAGCCGAAATCGATTTCATCAAAGACGTTGATCTTTACAAGATTGAGCCATGGGATCTCAATGGTTTGCCCAATGATTTAGATCTATGTATCTCTTGTTCTTTAATTGACCCCCCCCCCCCTTTGATCTATAGTTTGGAATTGTTCTTTTGTTTGTTTTTGGGAATAGACTTGTGCAGGATAGGGAACGAAGAGCAAAACGAATGGTATTTCTTCAGCCACAAGGACAAGAAGTATCCGACAGGAACAAGAACCAACAGAGCAACGAAAGCCGGGTTCTGGAAAGCCACCGGAAGAGACAAGGCTATCTACTTAAGGCACAGTCTTATCGGTATGAGGAAAACCCTTGTGTTTTACAAAGGAAGAGCCCCAAATGGACAGAAATCCGATTGGATAATGCACGAATACCGGTTGGAAACCAACGAAAACGGAACGTCTCAGGTATATATATCGATCCAAACTACTAGACCTTTCTTGCCATAAACATATATACTTGCATTGTAAGATGGATCTTCCTATAGAAAATGTAGTAGCCTCTCAAACCAATTTTATGATTCAAACATCACATATATGTATATAGATATATACCATTCGCCTATTCCAATATGGGATTAGAGGCATATATGCATATGAAAGCTCAATGATTTTGTGAATGTTATAATTTTGGCAGGAAGAAGGATGGGTGGTGTGTAGGGTGTTTAAGAAGAGAATGGCGGCCGTGAGGAAAATGGGAGACTACGAGACATCTCCCTCTCATTGGTATGAGGATCAGCTCTCCTTCATGGCCTCGGAGTTCGAAACTAATTCTCCACGGCGAATTCTCTCGAGTCCTTATCCCTCTGCTTACCCTCTCCACAACCCTAACTTGCAATGCAAGCAAGAGCTCGAGCTGCAGCACTACAATCATCATCATCATCATCATCTGCTTCATGAACCTTTGTTCCTCCAACTACCTCAGCTCGAGAGCCCTAAATTCCAACAACCTAACAGTAACTGCAGCTCTCTTCCTCTCCGGACAAGCAATGAAAGCGGTGATAATGCTGCTAACTTTCAGCCGACGAATCTCGGGCAGGAGGAACGGATGGATCAAGGACAGCAAAGTCTCGGCTCTCTATACGTGAATAGAGAAAATGGGCAAGCCGTGACCGATTGGAGGGTGCTCGATAAATTCGTTGCTTCGCAGCTAAGCAACGAAGAGGCTTGTGCTTCAGCTCAGAACAATGCCAATGATCAAGTTGACGATGAGGGAATGAACTTGTCGGAGAACGAAACAAAGAGGGTTTCTGAGATGGGGCAAGAGTTTGCTGCTTCGAGCTGCCAAATCGATCCGTGGAAGTGACCAAAGAGATAAAATAAAAAAGATGACGAAATTCAGAAGATATTATATAACGTTGCGTATATATATACATGCATATATATATATATGACAAGACGCACACTGATCGTGTGTAGATCATGGTGGCACAGATTATAATTAAGGATGAAACGGTAGAAAACTTGGAGTATCTACCGGATTCTTGAGGTTCTGTATATAATAAAACCGAAACTGTTATATTGTTTTCATACGATTTTTACTATATATCATTGAAAACTATGTTATATGCTTTCTGTACGTATATCTTTTGTATTCGTTATAACCAAAAGAACACATATCTGTCTATGATTTGAACACAAATATACGAAAAATTATCGAACTGATTTTCGTAAGCGTAAATTTGTCGATCGCAAGCTAATTGTCTATATATGATTGGGTTTTGTTTGTGAAAATATTAACATGCAGAAAATATTATCTTTATCCAAATTTGAAAAATTGGAGCGTGGTAACAAATTACGAACATTGTGCCACGTACGTAGATCGAAATGTAATTAAGCCTAATTATTTTTTACGAATGCAAGCATATTTTAAAGCATAGTGTTCGCCAAACTTTTAATGTTTTAGAACGTATAAATACGTAGATATACACATATTATATATATATATATATGTAAATGCTCGAGTAATTAATTTACGGATGAATATGCGTGTGTGTGTATATATATATACACACTCTCATCAATGAATATACACACGCATATTCATCCGTAAATTAATTACTTGAGCATTTACATAATAATTCAAGACCTTCAAACAATGGAGAACTAGATGATTTTTTTAACCCAATAAAATAATTCAAATTTTATCACTGCCCCAACCTTAAACACGAGATATATAATACTGTCCGCTTTAATTCATAGATATATAGGATCGATATATATATATATATGTATAAATTTGAAATGTAAATTTTTTGTTGGACTTACCTCCAAAACTATATATTGCTTGAAGAGTGTGATGAAACCGAGAAATATACAAAGGGAGATGATTTATATAAGAAGATATTTGATTTTGAAGGAAATGAACCAAATGCAATGGAAAATTTGGTTATGAAATGACCATTGAGATTTATAGACAATGTGTAAGAAAAGACAAAGCATGCTTTGTCGTGAAGAATCTTTATGTAATTATAATGTTTGATTTAAGGAAGGCATAAAAGAAAAACATGTTATAAATTTACTTTACTTGATTCCGGCAGTGCCCTAAATTAATTTTTATAAAATTAATAAAAATCAGTACTTATTAATTATATTTCTAATTAATTATCAATAAAACCGAAATAATAATTTTTTAATTATGAATGATCATATGGATAATAAATTTATCTAAATTCGTGTTTATTCGTGACCCTTCTACATATTGATAGCAAAAGTTAGGAAATAGAGAATTTGTATATGAATTTTTATTAGGATATGGAAAATATTCGAACCTTTGATCACAACATACCAAAATATAAATATATTTTGAGCAAATAAATTAGATAATATTATATTTGAAATGTTTGAGAAATGGGATCTCTCATCCATTTAATTTGGTGAAGGAACATAATGATTGGGCGTGCTCTTGGGGGTTTGACAAATACACACAATCCATCTCTCCTTCACACGATCGGTCCATTAATGGAGAAATCGAATTTTCATTTCCACAATTTAATAAACTATATAACAATTTATCCGATCTCAAGTTTTTAGATAAACAGTAAGGATGTTTATTGAATTAATCAATCAATTGATAACCTTAAGTTTCTATTATGGTGATAATCTTGAGATTAACAAGATTTAAACAGCATTAAATAGCACAATGTGAGACAGAAACATGTGGGGTATCATCATCAGTTTCAACATTTTAATTAATTATTTTATTGAGATGTTTAGAACTCAAACTTACATTTTTTTTTGAAATATTAATTATTTTCTAATATTTAACTGCACAAAAACTCATTAAATCCAAGTGATTTACTATAGAAATCGTGGCAAATAATATTTCAATGTATAGCAACAATTTAAATTCATGATATCGAAAGCAACATCCACTTGCTGTCCATTACCAAAAAAAATAAAAACACGTTGTAAAAGAAATTTTGTTAACAATTCAAAAGTTATGTTTACAAAAGTTACTTTTCTTAAAACAAAATAGGTGAAAAATAATAATTCTTTATTCTCACATAAATATCTAAATGAAATAATATTTGACTAAGAAGAGACATGTACTGTTTAAACATGCTTTGATGCTGTCCTAATTGGAGACAAAATTAATCATTATATCATTTTCCTATTTTCTTATCGAATTTCATTTTTTTTATTTAGATATTTTCAACTAAATCATATATATATAATGATATTATTCTTTATATATATATATATATATAACAAAATTAAATCTATACAAACCAAATACGGGAGAATCGAAATCTGAATTACTTAATAAGACAAATAACTTGAAAGGATATTTGAAAAATAAGTCTAACATTAAAATGGATAAATAAAGAAAAAAGCTCCTTTTCGTTACCCCCCCCCCCCCCTCTTCAACACAAACCGATTGAACCGGTCAGCACTAACCGAACTAAACCGGTCTCTGCCATTATTCCGCTCGGGGAAGAAACTTGGCTCTCAAGTAACCTAATCTCTGGAATAATTCACCTCCACCGGACAATGGCTGAGCCCCAGGTTAAGCCAGCTCCAAAACCCGAAGTGGCGATGGTGTGGCCAGGCTTCACCTTTCCACTTCTCACCGCCTCGTCGAGGGCCAGAGGTATCGAAGCAGCACTCGTGTTCCCGTAGTTGGCCAAGTTCGATATCACTCTTTCCGGTGGGAACTTCAGCCGTGTGGCCACCGCATCGATTATCCTCTGATTTGCCTGCAAAAACCATTTCCAGTTTTCCCAATTTGTACAGCAAAGTTTCAAACTTTTCACCACATCCATATGCGAAATTTCACAAGGGAGTTCATGGGTTCGTCTATCAGAACACTACACCTTCAATGGCTGGAGAAAGTTCGAAACTTTGATCATCTATATATATATATATATACCTGATGGAGCAGAAGCCAATCTATGGAAGAAGCAGAGAGACCAGCTTTTTGAATGGCTGACTCGATGGATTGAGGGACACATCTGACAGCAAAGCGAAAAACTTCTTTCCCGTTCATCTGGATGCAAGAATATGAAGGGTGTTTCGGAGGAAAGTCTCCCAATACTGATCCATTTGTACCCAAGGCATCGTCGACTTGGGTTTCTTGTATGGAAGCGTTCAAATGTCTGCCACAATATGCAAAATGAAAGTCGGGTCTCTAGCGAAAAATATGAATCCAAGAGGTCAAGAATGGAAAGTATGGAGTATAAAAACGATTCACTCTAAGTACCTACGGCCATCTCCATCGCTGTGCAAGTCAAAACTGAACAAACCATCATCCTCCATGTCACAAGCCTGCCAGAAAAAGGAGAATGTTCATCAGAATAGTTCAAGAACCAAAGAAAGGGTATGCAGAAGCTGTACTATAAAGTCTGTTTTCTTGCTGATACAAAGATCGATTTTTGTTCAAGATAAGTTTTATTTGCGGAGGGGCAGACACCCATCTTGTAATTCTGTACTCGTAATATACTAAAGTTCATCTCTTTTGTGAAAACAAAACTGGAATGTCCTTGCCTTATAACTTAAAAAAGTATTTTAGGTTTAAGAAGAAAAGGAGAGGCACTCATGTTACAGTTCATTCCTGAAAATGGGTTTTTACAAAAAAGTGGTATTGAGAGCTAATTGAAAGGAGGAATATTGCTAGCACCTGAACAACTACAGCACCAGCGGCGTCCCCGAAGAGTATGCAGGTCCCTCTATCCGTCCAATCAACAAACCGAGAAAGAGAATCAGCTCCAATCACTAAAACATTCTTAAAGCCACCCCCTGAAATAACAAAATCCAGTAAAGAATTATTACTTAAATCTCAATTACAGGTAGGCTGTGATATTTTTTCATTTTACCTCTTATATGACAAGCAGCAGAGACTAGGCCCAGAACAAAACCACTACAAGCAGCAGTGATGTCATATGCCAGGGGATTGTTTGTGCAACCAAGCGCCTTTTGAATCTGCCATCAACAGAAAAACAATCACAAAGCAGAACTTTCCGAAAAGCAGGATTTAGTCGATAGTAACAGGAAATCTTATGCATTCGGAGAATCGGAGTTTAAAGTTTGATACCTGTGGAGCAGTACCAAAAATATCATCAGGAGTGGATGTGCACATCAAGACTAAGTCAAGATCTTCGGGTCCAACCTCTGCCATTTCAAGGGCCTTTGTCGCTGCTTGTATTGCTAGGCCGGTCAAGCTATCTTTGCCTGAAATAAAAGTTCTAGATTAATATCGATATACGAAGCCAAAGATGTCTAAAAATATCAGAATGAGCAAATAGGCTACCTGAAAGAACCCGGCGGTTGCGAATGCCCGTGCGAGTTGCTATCCATTCATCAGATGTATCAACAATTTTTGCGAGATCATCGTTAGACAGCAGAAGACTCGGCACTGCTGAACAAAAAGTGAAAGCCATCTGACAAAAAAGGCAACGAAAGAACTCAGAAAATAAAATATGGAAAAAAAAGCTACACTATTTATAGGTAAAAAAAGAAGCAACGTCCATGAAATTTCTTATAGTAGAAATAAGAACATGCAATTAGCCAAAAAAAATAAAATAAAGGCCAACTTTAACGTTGAAAGTTGATCAAATGAATTCAGACGTCAAATTTTGAACCACATCCAATCAACTTGCAGCCTTTGGCCACGAGCCTTTGTTGTATATGAGGAAGACAAAGATTGCTCGAGTCATAAGTTACGTTTCATTGCACAAACTATATCGAGAATCTTTAATCAAGCTATTGATTGGAGAGAAGGCTCTGGTGATTCATAAGCTAAAAGACATTCCGAACGGTGCAGCTCAATTTAAACATTTGACACAGTATTCCAACAATATTGTCCATCCCTTGTCCTAATCTTATGGAAACTGAAACTCAAAACTCAGAAATGGTAGGAGAGAAAACATCAGAAGCAAATTCCATAACTAGAACGAGTCAAGACCGAAGATATAAAGGCCATTTCCGAATTTCAGTATCTTGTGGGAAGAGAATAGAACTCATTTCCACGAGATACGTCAAAGTACACGTGATCAAGGTATAAGAGCAATGGGCTTTGACCCAGCGATCACAAGATCGTACAAGATGATGACAAGCTAATGACAAATTCGATCATCGAGAAATCTGATTAACATTTTCTCTCCAACCAAACAGGGTTTTTACTTTCTACAAACTGACCCTGAAACGTGAATTGATACGCCTCGCCATTAAATACCGAAAGGAATCACCATCGCAACGGAAAACGAGGAGTTATGATGAAAGGATCCAGAAATCAAACCTCGGGAAACGAGGTTCAGACGGAGAAGGGGAAGCATGTTTCTCGGCGCCATCGACGGAGCACAAGACCCTCCTGTTGATTCCCTTGAAAATGCAAAACCCAGATCCAGAAACGCCATTCGGGACATGGGTTCTGCTTCGCAGGCTCGGAAACGAAGGATGCGTGAAGAACCCAGATGCATTCGCCATTGAACCAGTCACCAAACAACAGCAAGGGCGAGGGAAATATTCAATGTTCCGATTCAGCAATCGGAGATCTTTCAGCCGGAATTTGAGAGAACAGTAATGCAAGTGGAAGAAATTGCATTACCCATGAACCAGAAGGATTGGGAAAGGAGGAGAGATTCGCGTAAACAAATCAAACGAATTCGTAAAGAGGGTAATTCTCGCTTCGTGAATTAGATTCCTTTCTCGGGAAATTGTTCTTTCTTTCGTTGGAGGCTCCGAAGAAGAGAAGAAGCGAGGGCAGACAAAGGCGTGAGTGTCGCAGCCCAATTTGAGGGAACTCCCAATGCCATGAATGATGAATACAAACAAACGGTCTCTCTCTCTCTACGCAGGGAGAGAATTCCATGCGACGATCATCCGTGAAACCTTAGGAGGACGTGACACGTCAGCATCATCACACGTGGCATTATCTGAATGGAGATCTTCTTGGTGTCGTGTGTAATAACTTGGTGAGTCAAAGTAAAGATTAAGTAGGATTTTCCCGGTTTAGGTAGGAGGACAATTTTTTTTTTAAGTTATTTAGTTATAAATGCTAAATTCATGTACCTTATTCAATTATAACAAATATTATGAATGTTAGTCATCCGAAATTTATTAATATGGACATTGATAAATAGGGGAGCGTTTTGGTTGGGGAATTTTAATTCCAATTTGATTCACATTGAACCAAACTTAATAGCATTCGGTTTTAATTTAGTATAATTTTTATATAAAAAATAAATTCTTCTCGATTCGGTTTCGATAACAACCAAAATCGCGAGTCATCTCTCTATGGATAATATAATTATTCGAAAATCGATCCAAATTCAAAACACCGCCGTAGAGATAAATATTTTTTTTTCTATTTGTATTAGTGATTATTATATGCTTCAAATCTATTCAAAAGCTCCAATTTCATTCAACCTCTATGTTATGGTAAAATATTATAATTCGGCCTCATCTTCGAACTAGAATGGTTCGAAATATTTATGTTACTTTTCCACATGTATAATACATATTCCAAGTTTAAAAAGAAAAAAAAAACGTGTACAACTGTCGAAGATGGATGGGAGTTGGTAAACTAATCCGAGAAAAAGATAGATTTTTAATGATTGACTTTGCTTCCAGGGAATTCAGATTGAGTTTAAAATGTGAAAAACATAAAATATATTTGCATGGGAGGGCAACATAATTAACGTGCACATATTTTATCTTGATCGATTATGTTTTTGTTTGTATTTTTTAATTTTAGAAAAAAAAATAATATTTTTTATGTTGGTTTCCGTAAAATTTGTTTTTTACTTGGTTTGAATTAAAATTTATAAGTAAAAGGATATTTTCTAACGAAATTTTAAATTTTATTTCTTTATTTTATATTTTTGTTTAATTTAATTCGAAATTAGATTTCGATATTTTAGAAGTTTTATGCAGTTTTTATATTAAATTCCATTTAAAAGAAATTTTTTAGATTTATCGAGAAAGATGACATTTCCTTTAATGATTCCAAAACGATGCCGGAGTGATCCTCTCGGCGAATCTTCCCATCGGCGTCCCCGGCGTTGACAACTGCCACGTGGCATAAGCAGATTGGATATTTGAGGACTAATTTAGTCAATGGGTTTCAGGAAAAAAGGCCGATAATAGGAGCCCATTAAGGATATCTAAACAGGCTTTATTTCAGGCCCACTAAGCCCTGAGCAAGCTTGGGGTAACATTGTAAATACCTTTAAAATTAAGGCTGAATGGCTGTATTTTGGAGTTTTTAGAATTAAAAAAATACCACTTAAGTTTTCACAAAATTACTTTTCTAAAAATTTGAAAACCATTTTAGTGATAACTACTTTTTCTTTTTAGTTTTCACATATTATAATCCAAAACCCAAAAACTAAAAATTAAAATCCAAAACTAAACTAAAAACCCAAAATAAAAGTTATCTCCATTCAAAGCCTAATTTTTCTTCACCAGTTTTTGGTTGGGTTTTATTCTTGGAATGTACACTTCATGCATTATTTTGTACAATTTTTTTTTAATTAATCTCTTTAGGCAATCCTGACTTATTTTGTTTTCTATTTTTTTTATCAAGTGCTGTCGTTTGGTTTCATTATACTGAATTTATATATATGGCAAAATAAATTTATTGGGCTTATTTTATCAAAAAAAAAATTATTGGGCTTTGTCAAACATCAATCTTTGTGGAAGATTGGTTGCTATAATCCACAGTCCAAAAGAGGGATGATTTCAATTTTGATTTTTATTAAAATAAAAAAAAAAGAGAAAGAGAGATGAAACTCGGAATTGAAAAGAGAGATGATTATAATATTACATATTAAAACTTGTCCATTTGAATTCTTACTCAAGCCAATAAAATTTCCCCTGGTTTTACGTGTACATTTCATCGAGATAATCTAGGATCTGTCCACCGGGAAAAATATTTAAAATAATAGTTTGGTAAAAGTTAGGATGAACATTTATTTGGTACGTACATACAAATTATAGTTATATTTGAGACAAATTCAATCTTAAAAAAAATTAGTATAATTTTATTCAAATGAAATTATTCTAATTCAAACTAAATTGAAATCAAATACAAAAATAAAAAATATATAATAAAATAAATTCTTTTAATAAAATTAATTGGATAGCATAATTTGATTCATTTTTTAGAGAGTTATTATCATAAAAATATTAGTATCAATAAAATTAATTAAAAAATTATTTTACTTTTAAGGTGAAACTGGCTTACAAATAGATACTGTCCCTGACTGTGTTTGGTCCTCTCCTATAAAGCCTAAACCCTGACCAAACTCTTCAGAACACGACAGACAGTCTGTCTCATTTTTTTGCATCAAAACTCGTTTTTTCATTTTTGTTTTAAAAAATAAAAATATAATACTAATTCCATGTATATATATTGCTAACTCCAAAGGCCTCTTGAGAAAATATTTCAGTATTTTGCCAAAGAGAAGATAATTTCAAAAATATTATATTATTATTTAATCCAGTATCTAAGATGTATCTTTTGGATATCACTACACATCTTGCATAATAATGATTTAAATATTTAAAAAGGATCCTACTTTATATAGAGTTACTAATGTATCATAATTAGAAAAAACAAAAGGTAAAAAGCGAGGAATCCTAAATACCCCCTATTATCTCAAGTTTGCGAGAAACCATGTGCCACTCTCACCACTAAGCCCCCCCCTCTCTCTCTCTCTCTCTCTCTCTCTCTCCATGATCAGATTTCTTTTCTCGTTTTTCTCTCCTGCATTGTTGTAACATAGATACACATGTATGTGTGTATGTATACATTGTCTGCATCGTTCGAACATCGGCATCCGACCATGAACTGAGATTTTTTTTTGGGGGTGTTTGGTCTGTCTCCCAGATCTGTTCGACCATGGAATGCTTCAAGCTTCGTGTTTGGGTAAATTCCTCGTTTTTATTCTCTCTCCCAAACAAAAATTAATAATGGGTTTGTGTTCTTTTTTGTCAAGTATTATCTAGGGTTGCGGCTCTATGTTTGCTTTGTTGCTCTTTCTTCTCCTTTTCGTTAGATGGTTTTTTTCCTCCCCTTAATCCTCCTGTTGTTCAATTCCAATTTAGAAGAAAAAAAAAACTTATCATTGAATGGCATTATCACTATGAAGGTTGGGTTTTTGCATTGAAACTCATATTAAATAGGGCAGAATCTTGATCCCAGACACGTTTAAAGGGTTGGTTCCTTGTAAGATCGTCTTAGATTTGGTGCTCTTTTGTTGTTTATTTTCCTGGTTTTGGTAGAACCATTTCGAGTATTGTGTTTCTTGATAGCTTATAGTGAAATAATGTATAATGTGTGTGTATATATATACGCGGAGAATGTATAATGTATATGGGTATGTTGATGAAATAATGGATTCTTGAATGGAGCTGGTTTTGTGTTATGGGCATGTTTATGGTTCGCTTGCTACCATGAACATTGGCATGAATGTTTATTATGTTCACAACAACTACAGGGAAGGGGTATCACACTCACTCTCATCTTCGTTTTTCCTGTTTGGTGGGTTTGATCATAGGGATGGGTTGTGGCATAAGCTCGGGCCAGACAAGATGTATTTCCACGGTTTGTGTAAGGATAACGTGCTTTTGCAGAACGGTATTCGTCTGAAACCCGAGAACGAACGCGTTGATTCGTATCTAGAGACCTCGAAGCAGAAACCCGTCGGTATGGTCACTCTTTTCGGGAGGCAGGTATAAAAAGATTGCAGCTTTATGGATTTGGTTTAAGGCTTAGTGATGATGAACAACGTGTGAAACCACTTACTGTTCCAAGATTTCGATCTATTTTCGGGAGACATAGATGATGATGATGAAGAAGTCTTCATCGTACCTTTGTTTCAGGTGTTTCCGGTACAAAGTGGGAGCTATGAATCTGTAGATGAACAGCCATGTAGGGATCTGAATAGAGATATTATTGATCTTGGCAGCCATGGCTGTCCTGGAGTCACTGCTGAGATAGAACTTTCGATGGGGGTTGAAGTTATCGAAAAAGAAGCATCAATCCCAAAGTGGCTTAGCAAGAGAAACCCGGTATTCGTAATTGATCTCGAAGAACCTCCCTCTCGGCTCTCGCTGAAAGAGATGGAACCTTCAGCTTCTGGCGTCGGGAGAGTTCTTGAATCACAACCCTCTGTAGATGATGATGGCACATGCTACAGAAATCCGGGATTGTCAGATGAAGGTATGACCTCTTACGGGGTTTTCCTCTGTTTTCGAATAATGATTCTTGCGTTATGGCAGACTAAAAGCATGAATGAATTTCATGTCTCAGGACATATGAGTGGCAACACCGAGAAAGCAATGAAGAAGAAGAACACGCCATCCTCGAAGCAGAGCTTCGTTCTGGATCTGAACGAAATCCCAGCTGATGAGCCGTATCCTGATGGCCACCGCTACTTCTTACAGGACTTGAACTGCTATCCTTACACGGATGACACAACACCGAGCTCCGAGAAAAGTGGAGTTGAAGATCCTACGCCATTTTGCTCTCCTCTTAGCCAAAATGTTCTTGATAAAGATAGTACATCATCTCCAGCTTCATACACTTCATGCTGTACCACGGAAAATGACTCGAGAGTCGAGTCGAGGAGTTCTTGCCCGGCAACACTGATACCCTCTTGTCGTGCTCGGCTTGAATATCCCGAAACAGAAGCCTTACCAAGCAAGCCTACGAATGAGTCCCATAATGAGGAAGATTCGTCTGAAATGAGCTCGTGCATTCAATTTGCAGCTGAATCATTAGTCCATATCTCATGCAACAGCTCATATCGACACCAAGACTTGCTGTCCAAACCCGAGCAACGACCTATCTGCTCATCTCAAGACCGAGACTTTTCATCCAAACCCGATTTGGGTAATGCAGCACCGGAGTATTCTTACGATTCATATGAGTTAATGACCATGGAACTAACCGAAACCAGCCCTGAAGACTACTGTGTGTCATCAAAGGCAGTAGATGAACTAAACGTTACCGGGGAAAGCAAAGAACTCGGATTAAAGCTGAGACGAGGGAGGAGGATGAAGAACTTCCAGAAGGAGATACTCCCGGGACTGGTCTCGCTCTCTAGGCACGAGATACGTGAAGACATAAACATCTTGGAGGCGGTTTTGAGGTCAAGGGAGTACAAGAAGATGCAGGGAAAGACGGGAGACGAGAAATGCGAGGCAAACCCGAGAAAGAGACGTTCGGGGCAAAGGTACGTAGGCAGAAGAAGGAGAAGATCTGAGTGACGGAAAAAAGAACCCGAGTTTCGGGTTTTTGACGTATGGTGTGTAGTCATTGGTGTATCATTTGAACAACGGGTCTATTGTTACTCTCTGTTATTGGCATTGGTTGGAGTTTTTAGTAGTTAAGTGGTAGAATCTGATGTTACGACCTTCAAACTCCCTTCGGCTCTTTGTGCAAATTCTTCCTCTATATCGTTTTGTTGTTTTGGTTATATAGATTTGGTTAATACCCGAATAATTAACGGAATACCGAATCAAAATCCATGCATAATCGAATTGAATTCGATAACAAAAAACAATAATCGAATAGTTATTTTAATTCTATAAAATGGACAAACTAGATATAAATCAAATAAAAAAAATTTAAAAAACGAAAATTTTTATTAATAAAATCTAAAACCAAAACCAAAATAGAATAACTAAACCGAACCAATTCAATATAGAAATTGAATAGTTATAATTCTTGAATAATTATAATTCTTTTTTAAAAAAAAAAAATCGGAGATGGGGCACTTGATTCCTGTGGGAGGTGTTGTGCTCTTGTTTACTTCCGGTAGGAATGGGACTTATTTATTGGGCCTTATAGGCCCTTACAAATATAATAGGCTTATATGTAGTTATATTTCCAATGGTCCTTATGGGCCCATACACTTGTAATGGGCCTCATGGCACTTGCACTTGTAATCTTGGATCATAATTTTATAATTTAATACTCCGTTATTTTTATTTACTGAATTTTTGTGCAATCTTCATTAAGTTTATTGGAATTGATTAGTTTTAATTAAGGATAAAATTGAAATTTATTTTAAAAAATTATCTAAAAAATCTAAAATGATAACTACTTAAAACAAAAAAAAAAATTGTCTATAATGTCAACTAATGAGAAATCTAATAATTCTCGGTGTATTTCTCTATTAGGAAATGGATGATAACAATGACATATAGACAAACAACTAATGGACAAATAAAAAATAAGTGACAACAATTAAGGTAAAATTAACACATAAAAATAATAATGATAATGGAATAAACATATCATTTATAGCCGACATCCAATCCAAATTATTCACAAACAGCTAATGTGACGTAGGTGTAGGGGTGGCTATTTCGGTTATTAACCGAATAATCGAGTCGAACCGAACTGAATAAGATATAACCGTACCCGAACCGAATCCGACATTAAAACTGAACGGTTATAATTTTTTTAAACCCGAAAAAACTGAAATCGAACTGACCGAACCGAATAAAAAATAACCGAAAAACCGACGATTTCTTTGAAAATAATGAGTTTTTTACCGAAACTGTACCGAAAAATAATCGAACCGAACCAAACTGGAACTTATGTAAAAACTGAACGGTTTCTATAATCGAAATAACCGAATCCGAATATAACCGAACCGAACCCGAACCGAAACCTGAAATGGCCACTCCTAATTAGTTGGATACAAAACAATCAAGGTATACGAAAATTTTGATACATATTTTTTGGAATTAGCTAATATTAGTATTATTTAAGGTAAAAAAATAAAATATTTATAGATAAACATAAACCTAACAAATTCTAACAGATTAAAATATATAAATCACGAAGACAAATACGAATTAGGGTATTAATTATGTCGGATAAAGAACAACCATACAAGACGATAACAGAGCACGGTCATGTTATTTGTTTATTTAGTATCCGACTAGATACTTGGATTAAAAGCATAATTAGTAATCTTTATATAATCAGTTTATGAATTTGTCCAAACCTCGAGTTTTCCCCTTTTGTGACAGTATTTCTAACGGAAAATTATTACCAAAAATATTGAACCTGTATTACAGTAAAAGAAATTATTTTGTTTTTCAAAACACTATTTTTTTAAAAAAAAAGGAAAAATACTTGTGCCGATCTAGATCCCCAACTTGTAACAATTGTCTAACTATAAATATGGTAATATTGTATTATTTTTTTAAAAAAAATAATAATTAAGATTGTGTATGGCTTTATTTTTTTATTTGAATTTGGTTTGATTTGTTTTTCTCGTGATTCTTTAAAATCATCCTAAAAGATTTTTGTAAATACTGTTTGTATTGATAGAAATAACAATCTTTATCAATTTTTTTATTAAAAAAAATGGAAGAGATAAAAGATAAATAATCCAAAACAAAATACAAAATAAAAAATAAAATCATGTCATATCCAATTTTTTATTTAGAAAAAATCAAGATGCTATTAACATTTATGCATGTCATCTATATATATATATATATATATATATATATTTATTTATTTATATGAGTAATCCCGATAGTCCATATATTCAAAGCTTTGCCCACAGATTCTGCGCCCAATGAATGAGACAGCTATCAATCAGTTTATTTATTGTAGACACATGTGCATCGGTTCTGATTGATACGACAACACATGTATTAATGCGTTTTTGTTAAGAATCATATAATTTATTTTCGAGTCAAATCACTTATATCAAATTCCAAATCATCTTGATGTAAGGCCACGACGTTCTGAGAATGCACCTTAAATTATCATTCCGCAAATTAAAATACAATTAAGATGGGATTAATATATGGGTCAATCAAAAAATTTAAAAAGGGGAAGGAAAATAGGCACCCTATTAACTTGATACGTTGAAATTGAAAATCATGGAAATTTTTACTGATTCTGATTTATACAAAGACGCACAAATTTTGCAAGATTGATACATATAACTTGTTGTTCCTTCGGTCGCCCCATTTTCTTTTATGAACCCCGGTCTCTTTAACCCCTCCCTCTTGTTTCCCTTTGTACACTCGGGAAAACAAGAGATTTAAACCAAAACCAAGAAACATGTTTTTTTTTTGTGACAAAGTAAGAAAATTTACGTACTATACCACAAAACCATATCGTGTTTATCATCATCATCGTCGTAATCTTCATCATCATCATCAAGCATGACACGTGGGGATCTCGGGCTCATCATCCAACTCAATCCCGACCTCTGCTAGCCTCTTGTCCTTGTAAACATACCACTTTGCGAAAACCAAAAACACGGCGAAGTTCAAGGCGCAAAGAACAGCGACGAGCCAGTAGAAATTGTAGAGCCGACCTTTGTTGAGATCGTTGGCGATCCATGCATGTGCGGTTCCGGTGACTTTATGAACAATCGCCACGAGAACCGAGCTCAAGAAAAACCCTAACGCCAATGTACTCAACAACAGCCCTGTGCTCATCGTCTTCATACCCTTTGGACACTCTCTCAAGAAGAAATCCAATTGTCCTGTGTATATCAGCGCTTCACCTATACCGACGATTAGATACTGAGGAATCAGCAAGTAGAACCCTAGAGGAAGCGTTTTGTCAGTTGGACTGTGGGAATGAGCAGTTCTTAGACGTTTGATCTCGACTAGGGCAGCGACCGCCATGGCGAAAGAGGCGAAGAGTAGCCCTATACCGATGCGTTGTAATGGTGTAAGGCCATTAGGTTTCTTTAGGAATTTTTTGGTGAAGGGGATGACGAAACGGTCGTAGACGGCGGTCGTGAGGAGGAGACCGCCGACGTAGAAGACGGCCATCGAGGCGGGAGGGATTTGGAAGCTTCCGACGCGTCGGTCCATGGTCTCGGATTGTGCCACGGACAATGTTGTCAGCTGGGCATGTACTGTCCAAAAGAGAATGCAGGTTGCCCAAATTGGTAACATTCTTACTATCTGTTTCACTTCTTCGACGTCCGTTAGGGTTGAGAGTGTCCATTTGTTGTATAGGTTCGGACCAATCGTGTCTTGTTGTTCCTTAATGGCCGCTTTATCCAAGGACCTATATCATAAAAAGAAAAAATATAAATAATTTAAAAAAGATGGACATACAAATGTTATGATGAATGCGTATCAAAGATGTTTAAATTTGGTCAAAAGACAAATCTAAATTTGTTTTGTGTTGCAGCAAACGTAAGTGGAATTCTAACCAAAACAATCATGGTTTTCCTTTGTTTGTTTGGAAAATGTTGACTTTTGGATTATAAATACATATATATGTATATATCTAGTAATGAAGGGGAAATGTATTTGCATGGCCACGATTAGAAAAAGGCATGCAAGTCACGTGGCGTGAACGTGACAACGAAATTGAAATCTGGCTTTCTGTGTCAGTCAGGCCTGGTGAAGGTGTGAAGCAGTGGAGGCGTCACGGCAAGAAACGTGATCGATCACCATTACAAGACAAAAGCAACTTTCTATATAATAAAGATATATAATTTATTTTATAATCAATCTTTATTAAAAAAATCTATATAATGTTTTAGCAGTTATTTTTTGTCCCTATAAAAATAAATAAGTATTTCCTATAAATGTTTTTCTGTACCCATCATATATTTATTAGATTTGGTTTGGCGATGGACTCGAAGACATGTTTCTATACCTCAATAGATAAATAGATAAAACTATATTGAAGATCTAGAAATGGTGAAAAATACAATGTTATTGTTTTAGTATGTACGCTTTGAATCATTGAATTGATTCTCTTTGGATTATCTTCTTCTTCTATTTTTTCTAATTATCTTATATATATGCATAGGATAGGATAAATATCATGTTATAAAATAAAATAATCACGGGTCGTGCGAAGACAACCATAATCTTAAAATTTTATATCTTTTAAATTGTAAATATTGCCCACTCGCGTTTTCAATCTTTTTTATTTCATTGTAAGTGCATATTATTTAATAGTATAATAATAATAATAATGATACTCTGGTCCAAGTAATCAACGCAAATATTCAAGCCACTTTAGTTGGATTCTAATGCCACGTAGGCATTTATATTAATGGACCTTCCCACCTCAACTAAAAAGACACTGCTGATTTCCTACCCACTCTTAATTCACACTTCAAACCTAATCAAAATTCAATTTGTGTTTAACCTACGCTCCAATCATTTCAATATTTAATTTATTCACGAAACATATTTCAAAATAATTTCCAAAAGATAATCATTTTTTTTTTGATAACCGGGTAATTCCAGGTCCAAAAGGCCCATACTAATCCCGACCCACACGCACAACCGGCACCACACGTGTGGGATGTGAAGCATCCGAAGGTGGTCGGAGGAGAAATCTCCATACCCTGGGTGTTGAACCCACGACCTCTTGTTCAGGAATTGGGCTCTCAAACCAACAGAGCTGGGGGAGATCCCCTCCAAAAGATAATCATAATCTGTAAGTCGTAACGCGTACCGGAATTGCTCGGTGTGGGGCAACCTTTGCTTCATCTTCTTCGAAACCTCCGACGTAACGATATCGTCCAAATCGAAAAAGAGCGACGGATCCGCAGGAAGTTCAAGCCGTCTCTTTTGCCACGCGGCGATGAAGACCGCTGCAATCTGCGTTAGCGGGCTACCGATCAGCTTCTTGAAGCGGTAGCGTTTAGTCCCCGACAAAAACACCAAAAGCGCGAACACAATCGCAAACGCGCATACACCATAACCCCATTTGCGCCCAACGTCGTCTTGTATGTATACAAGAACGGTGACCGCACCAAGCGAGCCAACGTTGATGAAGAAGAAGAACCGGTTGAAGAAATACGTCATTTGAGAACGTTCCTTCGGGTCTGTCTCATCGAATTGATCCGAACCGAAACCCGAAACGCTCGCTTTAACGCCACCGGTTCCGAGAGCGGTGAGGTATAACGCTATGTATAGGACTAAAAGTTGCATTCCACTAGCTTGTACGCATGAATTTGACGAGGTTGGATCGCATTTCGGAGGCCGGAGGCCAGGAATGATCGTTGAGAGCGTTAAGATCGTTACACCCTAATAATATTTTAACAATCATAACAAAATCATCAGAATTCCCGAAATAAAAAAAAGGGGGGGGATAAAAAGTGACAACGGTCAAACAAATTGATATGAAAGAAGGTTGATATTTACGTGGGGACAACGATATATGAACCAATGATTCAGTAGGTACACTTATTTGTCTATTTGTTAAATTTTTCTTCATAACTTTGGTGGAGAAAAGACTTATATTGTCTTCTTACCGTGGCTTGAATCGTGGCGAAGATCGCAATTGTCATGTACCTATATAATTAAGGAACCAAAATTAAATGGTTATTAGTATATGATGATTATGACACACACATATATATATATATATAATATAGTTATCATATTGGTCGGTTGTGATAGATACGTTTTGGAGGAAGGGAATTAAGGACCAAACCTGCCGAGAAACGTGTCGGCGACAAAGCCACCGAGGAGACAGAGCATGAACGATGTTCCAATGAAGTTGGTAACGGTGTTAGCCGACGTTGCATTTCCCAAGTGCATAGTCCCCTTCAAATACGTAACCAGATTAACGCCGATACCTAACGTCGTTAACCTCTCTACGGCCTCGATACCTTGACAAAAAAAAAAGTTTCAATCTTTTTGGGAAAAAAAGCAATACCCACATGAAAACAATTCAAACCCATGTCAAAGACATCGAAAAGTTTCAATCTTCTTGAATACTCATATATGTCTGTACATGGATAATATATTGTATGGACCAAAATTCATATTATATGAAAACAGATACGATATATATATATATATATATATATACACGTACAGAGAATCATGGCGGCGCTGGCCCAACCACCGGTCTTGGATCGGATGGCGGGGCGGCCTTGGAAGTCCCAGGCATCTAAGAGGGTATCTTGGATTTCAGGAAGAGACATATCTTAAAGATTGATGGAAAAATTATGCAAGAACAAAAGAAAACTGAATCTTTTTTGGTTCTTTTGATTCTTTTCTTTTATATATTTTTTGTGAATCACACGGAGCAAAAGGGTAGTTTTGTTTGAGAGCTTTTGCTTTGTTGTGAGGGCTCTCTGCGGTTAGGGTATTTATAGGGGGAAACTTGAAAAGCTAAATTTAACAAAACAAAAAACTTGAAAAACTAAGTTACAGTTGTAAGGAATTAAAAAGGTTTCGAAATTTAAAAAAAAAAAAAAAAGGAAAAGGTTTTAAAAAAAAGTGACACCTGGTGTGACTTCGATGAGTGTTGTTTGATTATTGGGGAAAGAATTAATATAAAAATATATACATATACATAAACACGCATATATATGCATATAGAGAGAGGAAAAAAAGAGAGAGTGGGACCAAAGTGAAATCTTCACCACTTCCTCTGCATTTGGAACTGTGGTTTAAGTTCCAAGAGGTCGGCCAGTGGGCCATGCGTGTGAATTTCCCTGTTCTTGAGTTATTATTATTTATGTCTATAATAATATATAATATATATTATATATTTTCGGCACACCTTTTCATGAAACCAGAAACTATGTTCATCTGTATCGATTTGCCAGAATTTAACGTGTTTTATTCAATAAGTTTCTGATCATTGGAAAATATTAATCCATTTTTTATTTCACTATTATTCAGGTTTGTTGGATCTACATCCCATGAAATGCAATTATTTTTCCAAACAATTAGAGAAATTATTTATAATTTCAATTTCTTTCTTTTTAATCCATTTACTATTTTTTAAAGGAATATCCCAAAATAATACCTAAACTTTTCAATTTTGACAAAATAAAATCTGAACTTTGTTTTTTATCAAATAAAACGTGAACTTCATATTTCAGTCAAAAATAAACCTGAACTTTATAATCTTTGTCATTTTTAACTCTATTGCTGACGTGGCGTTCCGACATCCTACATGGCAAGTCAACATTTTGACCGTATTTAACACATCATCGTCCACGTGTCACGATATCGGAATGTCACGTCAGCAACATGGTTAAAAATGATAAAGATTATAAAGTTCAGGTTTATTTTTTACTAAAAAATGAAGTTTAGGTTTTATTTGATAAAAAACAAAGTTTAGGTTTTATTTTGTCAAAATTGAAAAGTTCAGGTATTATTTTGGGATTTTCCCTTTTTTTATACATTCTTTCCTAATTTTACCATGCTAAATTTTTTTTTCTAAAAATCGATCAATCTTCTTGTAATTATATAGATGATAATTATCATGTTGAAACTAAGATTTTTCAATTTGATAGGATTAAAGTCATATGCAAAGATTCATGGTTCACAATGTGTGCTAGCTAAGCACCATTGAAATCTATCGTTTTTTGGTGAAGGAAATCTATCATGTTGCAAGATAATTATAATATGATATTATTTTAAATTTAATAAAAAAATGTGAAAAAATAACATAAAGTTTCAAAAGTCATATGAGTCTTGTGAACCTTGCAACTTCAATGGTTCTCCTTCGTTTCTTATAAAAGGAGGCCAAATATTTTATAAAAAAAAAAACAGAAAAAGACTAGATTTCTATGCACCACACAATAAGAAGTTGGCTTACAAGTTGGTTTTTATAATCATTTATTAATATCTTATCTAAGTAATCACCGAATCGGAGATTTTCACTAACAGTATAATTATGGGCTCAAAATATATATATAGATTTATGCAAATATAAACACCTACGTGGTAGATATTCATCATAATGCACGGGATATTTCTTTATAACTTTGACAACATATTGGATCAATTTCCGAATATTTTATAATTTTTCAGTTCAAAAACTCTATCAATATTTGTTGTATAAACGGAAAACGAAATAAAATTGATAATATTCCTCTTAATAGAATATCATAATCAAGACAGTGGGCTAACGTTTATAACGCTAAAATAGATAATGTTCATCTATAGATAACAATGCTTACGAGTATAATTAACGACTGAATTTTAATATAAACGTAATAATCAAGTCATCTAATCCTTGGTCGTTTTTTCTACAATCTTTTGGATTGGCATACAATTATTACTTGTAGAGGAAATATTTCATTATATATTATATATATAAATATATAATCTCGTTTTTGTTTTCATTCAGCATCAATCTTAATAGGTTTGTGTATATATTTTTTTTCGATTTAAATTTTTTTTAAAAAAGGATTTTTTAAAAAATGAGAACATACTGATTAAAATTCAATTAATATTGTTATGTTCACTAATATATAAAAATTTAATTGCACGTTCAGCTGAAATATAAAAGGAAAAATAAATAAAAATCAATGGATCACAAATAATTTCGAGAAACTTGGCCCAGCTTTTGGCGCACGTGACACTTGGATTGGATACCTCTTTGAGATTCCTCGCGGGGTTGACTTGGTAATCTTAATTGTTTTTAATATTGTTTCAATTAATTTTGCTAAAATTTATAATTTCGACATCAATTTTGTGGACGATAAACTTATGATTGGACGAAATTTATTATTCATTAGGATACGTTTCTGGATATTAATGACTAATTCAAATTTGTTCTTACCAAAAATAAGTATAATAGCTATTGATTAAAGATAAAATATAAATAAATACATAATTCCTTTTTTTTTAATAGAATTCACCTAATTATCACGAATACTTCTAATATTAATGAAAGGGTTTAGTCATAGAAAATAAAATCAAAGAAGTAGAAAAAATTCAACTGTAAAATTATTACAGTATATGATTTACTGATAGATATTAAAAAATTATTATGAACGTATATAGAACTCTACCAGAAGTTTTATATTTTTTATATTTTCATATGTATATCTAATTTTTAATATAAGTTTATGTTTAAGAATGTTTTGATATTAAAGATTAAATTTATTAATGTATATTAAGGATATGATCATTTGAGATTTGAAACCTAATGATAAGAAATGTTTTTGGTCCCATATATAGTAGAGAAAATAGTTTTTTTGTCTCTCCAATCATATATATATATATATATATATATATATATATATATCTTACATATTTATTCAATGTTGGAAATAAAAAAAATTCAAATTTTCTTATGTCATAAATTAATAAAATAATCATTTGTGATTAAACTGTCTTTTTCGAGGAGCTGACATTGGAATAAACAAGCACAGATTCTAAAATAAATTAAGATTGATTGAATCATCAAAGGAGGAATTGGTATCGAATTAATTAATGGATATGAATCCGTTCAAGTATCCCAAAGGCCACGGTTGACCAAACAAGGAATGACAACTTGTTCAATCATAATTTCTCACTATAAACAATGATTATATTTGAATTATCTTTTAGGGTATCTTGATGTTCTGGTTATAAAATCATTTTATAATGTAATGAGGAGACAGATATGGTCGGATGGATGGCAATGAAGTTATCCATTTGTCGTAAAATGGTGACATATTACATAATTTAATTTTATTTGACAAATTTGGTTATGTAATCACATAAACACGCGCGCATATACACACACGCACACACACATATAGGTAATTATACGTAGCATATTGGTAAATCTTCACTAACTTAGATTTACAAGAATTCGGACCACATGGGTTATTTTTCTCGCTAATATTTTTTTTTGCGTAACCGAGTATTTTAAATCAAAATCCAAACTAATTTTAGGGCCGGGAGTCAGTCATTTGTTTTGAATTATACGTTCTCTCTCCAAATTTAAAATTCGAATTCGAGACGAGGCATAGATTTTATATCCGTTTTATTGGTTGAATTATCCAAATTTAGATTCTCGCTAAAATTTATTTGTGCGGACGAAATAATAATGTGGTTAACAGATTTAGAATTATAGAATATACGGATGAGTTTACTTCGTGCAGTCTCTTTTTAAAACTCAACATTATCTGTGAATCGCTAACATTATCTCATGAGCTTTGACTCAAATCAAGCAATTTATATATTTGTTTATTTATTTTTATCTTAATACATGATATTCACGAACGAATTCCATGAATATTCAATATCATTAGATATATATAAAGTATCCTTAAAACTCTTACAAGCACATACATTGGCTAGAGGGGCGTATATATATATATATATATATTAGGTGGCGGATGGACGGCATAAACTCTTGAAAAAATGTTTAAAGTCAAATTCCTAAAAAATGAGATAAGCAAAATTATTGTCGAACAAAATAATGAGATGATCACACATGATACGTGGACATTACATATTTATCAATTTGTTTATGCATCGTGTGTATACATATATGTATAGAAGAAGAGGGGCATTATCAACTAACCCTAGGTGGCGGATGAACTGGGTATCGTATGATGAGATATATGATATCAGATGTTATATTATTCCATGATATATTTTATTTTATGCATAAAAAGAATGTATCGTTTACATGTATGTATATTTTATAATATTGTGATGAGATATATACTAAAAAATATTTTTTTTAATATAATACATTGGAAGATAGTGGTGTTCATTTTATGATCATTCCAGTTACTTAATTTAGGGAAA